TTTGTATGCCCCAGGATGACGTCAGACAGAAGCTGTTCAGGTGGACAATATCTTTCAAAGGGATGCTTGTGTCAATCAACTGTAATCCTTTCCAGGAACACAGATCTGAATATATTCGCAGCGAGCACACTGCAAAGTCTTCCGAGTCTGTGCTCTGCTTGGCTTCCATTCAAAGCCACCATACTCAAACCTCAAAACTCAAAGCTTCCTCTCCAGTTTCTCAACCTTCCTTTAAGCAAGTGGTTCCCAACCTGTGGGTCACAACCCCTTTGGGGTTGTCAAGAGACCCTTCACAGGGTTTGCATACCAGATATCCTGTATATCAGGGGACACCGAAGTGATTTTATGGTTGGGGGATCACACAACATGAGGAACATGTATTAAAGAGTCACAGCATTGGGAAGATAGAAAACCACTGGTGGTTGCTAACAGGGTCAACCGTACCAGTGCCTACACGTAAATTCAAATTAAATGCCTCAGGTCTATTGCACTGACAAATGTTCACTGAGTGCTTACACATGTCCGAACAGGCTTGGGCTACGTGACAAACCTTTCCGCCTGTGAAGTGGCGGAACACATTGTTGTGCCATGCCAGTCCATGTGAGAAATGAACAGACTCCAAGCTCTGGGGGCTTAGCACACTGAAGACTTCCTTGTGCCTCACATGAACTCCAAAATGGATGTTTCCAATCTCAAGACCACAGTTAGCCATCACCAAACACATCTGTTGTCAATAGCAACCAGCCAGACTGCCACAGTGGCTAGGCTGATTGTACAGCACAGTTATGACCAATGCCTGTTCCCTATCTCCCTGGGTCAAAGGTTCCTTTCCTCAACTTGCCAGGTTTGGCCTGCCTCCAAAGCACTGAAATATTCTTATTTACCATGGGAAGATGGGTAAAGACAATTGATAGCTATTCTCTTGAGAGATACCCTGCTCACAGGCTCCACCAAAACCCAGGAGACAGACTCTTCAGAGTAACTGCTGTCCTATAGGAAAGCACAGAGGTTACTTTATAGCAAACCCAAACATTTGGGGATTCATAGAGAGCCCTTGGAATGAGGACCAGAGATTCATTCTTGAGAGAGCCAAGGACATTATTTACCCTGCAGAGCTACCTCTGACACAGGAAGCCTTGAATTTGTTTGGACTAATCAGGAAAAAGAGATAAGATACACCTCAGGCAGACACTGTTTTGAGCTCTAGTTGCAACTTAGCTCGAAATTCGTCCTAATTTACCCAAGGGCCTAGCACCAGGTGCATTAGATGTGGACCAACAGTCTTTCTCTTGGGGACCGTGAACTCCAAGGTGTCTCGTGAATTTCAGGTCTGTGCTATAAATGTACTGTGTGGAGCCCCTGGCCCAGGTACAGCCTCTGCCTTCAGTTACTCATTGCTACTTGGATCTCTTGACACAGTTCCATGAAAGCCACCAGAGAAGCCCGCTGGAGCACTGTTGGGCACTCACGGAAGCGGAAAGTCTCGAGTGGACTTTCCAGTTATCCTTTCACTCAGACAGCCCTGTGCTGTGTTGGGCCCCTCGAATGCTAATGACAGAGTAGGGTACACCAGCCAGTTTCTCGTATTTCATAGGAATGGAGCTTTCCAGAAGGATAAGTCTAGTTCCACAGATCAGTGGTAGTAGTAGCAACAGCAGAACATTCTTCTTCCTTACACCCCACCTTCTCTCTCTCTCTCTCTCTCTCTCTCTCTCTCTCTCTCTCTCTCTGTGCGTGTGTGTGTGTGTGTGTGTGTGTGTGTGTGTGTGTGTGTGTGTACATGCACACACATGCATGGAGAAGCCAGAGGTCAACCTCAGGCATCATTCCTCAGTGGCCTACTTTGGTTTCTTGAGACAGAGCCTCACTCTTTTCCCTGAAACCAGCAAACCCCAGGGATCTGCCTCTCTCCCCGGCTCCTCAGGGCTGGCTTTTATAAGTGTATACATCATCATGTCTTTTTTTTTTTTTTTTAAGGATATGGGCATGGAACTCAGGCCTTCACATTTGCACAACATGCTCTTACTGACTACGATGTCCCCCCAGCCCTCAGAGAACTTCTCTTTACACAGAAAGGCTAAGGCCACATCATTAGGAGTCCACAGAGACAGTTACCTAGCGTCCACTCTCAGGACGTCACTAAGAATGCTGAGGCTTTACTTACCACAGGCTCAACCCCACTAACCATCAATAACGCCCTGATGCTATTCTGCCCTGTCAGAATGAATACTGTACTGGGCACACACAGTCATTCCTTCTCACTCCTCCCCTGGAACTCTGTGTAGACCAAGCTCCGCCTCTGCCTCCCAAGTGCTGAAATGACAGGCATGCATCAGCACACCAGACCCAAACTGTCACACCTCCAAAGCCATTCCTTTGTGCCCACTGCTCCTTTCTGGACTTTAACAAGTCTGTGTTCCCTTTGCAACTAAGGGTGACACATTTCTGTCCTGCTCAGAAAGCTAACCTGATGATCAATAACCGCCTAGATATTTAAACATAGAAACAGAAAACCTGCATCATTCTTGGACCGTCAGCCAAAGAAGTTAGTAAGGGACCTATATCCCCATCATTGGATGTTTATTGGGGGGGGGTCACTGAACTCCTTAAATGTGTCTGTGTGTGTGTTTACATATGCATTCTTCTCCTCCCCAGTCTTCGCACATTTTGTAAATTAAAAGTTTGCATAGCTTGTTGTGATTTGAAACTACACATCTGAGGTGAGAACACCGGATAGGAAGTGGGATACCATAGGAGGAGATTGTTCTTTGTATTGGAGACAGCAAAGAACTGTTATTGTGTCTTAACTTATGCTCCTTCCAAACCATCTGGAAGAGAATGGCCCCCAAAGGGAGTGGCACTATTAGGAGGTGTGGTTTGTTGGGTAGGTGTGGCCTTCTTGGAGGAAGTGTTAGAAAGGGTGGGCTTTAAGGTATCCTTTGTGCAAATTTCACCCAGTGTGGCAGACAGTTCACTTCTTGTGGATGAAGATGTAGAACTCTCAGCCCTTCTCCAGCACCATGTCTGCCTGGGGAAAATGGACTGAACCTCTGAAACTGTAAGCCAGCCTGGATTAAAAGTTTTCCTTTATAAGAGTTGCCATCATCACGGTGTCTCTTCACAGCAATAGAAACCCTAACACACCTTGAGCTGTGCCCTGAGCTGTGCTTCTTTGGAGATGGGATGGGGATTTTAAGGAAGCAGATACTTTTGGAGTGGTCAAGATAAGAGATTAAAGTGGCATTGTCAGAGAGATTGGATCCTACCTGACTGGTGTTCCATAAGAGGCATCTGGGACACAGACCCAAAGGAAAGAGCTGTGAGGACACTAGGAGAAAGCAACCATCTGCATGCAAGGGCAAGAAGCCTCACACAACACCAGCTTACTACATGATGCCTTAAAGCACCAGAATCTGACCTGTGAGAAAAGAAATCCATTGCTAAGTCACCCAGCCTGTGGTGTGTTTGCCTTAGAAAGTTTAGGGAGTTAATGCAGGAGCCACAGGCACAAAGGATACATGATGAAGACAGAACTTTACTTGTCAGTCTGCAGACTGCATCTGCTTCTGTACACAGTGATGTACTCCTGAGAGTTGACATTATTATCTCTGCATGCTGGACTGTGGGTGATTCTCTCTCTACTGTTCTATTGTGTTTGAAGTGTATGTGCACCAGCTGCACAGAGGACAAGGGAATGCAACAGAGGGAAGCAGAGGAGGGAGCCTAGGGTCATTGTATGTGTATGTGTGTAGACACAGGTTTTGGCTTGAGTAGTTTACATTTTTCAAACTATAGTGATTTTTTTCTACAATTAATTGCCTCTTGTATGGGCACAGCCTTCTTTATCAGCAGTAGGCTATGTATCAGCGATTTCTCAATAGGTCTGTTGCCCCAGAGCTCCCACTGTTCCTTGTTGTGGTGTCTTTCTTGGAAGCCCATGGGTTCAGCTAATCTAAAGGATGCTCAAGCCCGTGAGTTCAAGTCATTGAGAGGACCAAACAAACAAATGCAACAGACACACAGAAAACCAAACAAAAATCCCCAAGTATAACAACAAAGGAGACAGAAAAGATAACGGGGCATGCAGTGTACAGGCAGCACTGATAGCCACACCCACAGCACTGAGCAGCACTAGGTCTGGTTGAGAGGGACATCCTGTTCTCTACACAGCAGAGCCCAGCACCTACTGAGTGACACCCAACTAGGTATGATGAGTGCTGTTTCCCATGTGGCTGAAAATTTATTTCAGACCACATGATTTATTTTAAATTCAAAGGAAAGGCACTGAATTTTAATTATGCACCAGAAAAGTGATTTTAAATACTGTCACTGTCCTTAAACAAGCAAAAGACACTGAAATGTCTGATTCAGTATAAAGGATCCTATTGCGCCTGTCACAGTTGTCTGCCCGTGAGCCCCTATAAGGGTGTGTGTAAAAGGGGGTATTCGGGTGTCTAGAGAGTCTCGGATTGTTTCCTAAGAAATGTATTTTTTAAAACAATAACAGTGTCAGATTAGGTGTCCTAGACTGGTCTTGAACTTGCCACCCTGTTGTCTCCGCTTTGCTTTCTGTGTGCTGAGATTACAGGTTTGTACCACCACATCTGGTAAAACAGTGTCTGCATTAGGGCTGACCATCTGAGATCCCAAAAGCCAGCAGGCTGAGAAGGCAGGTTGCCTGCGCTCCATCAGCTCTGTGTGGTGGGTGAGTTCATCCTGGAGAGCAGTGGGGTAAACATGCAACAAGAGCTCAGCTCATCCCAGGCACAGTGCAGACTTGGACTACTCAAGGAAGTCATACTCACGCCACATTCCTCAAGCTCCCTTATGCTGACACGAATCAGGGCTGCGGGCTCATGTGGAAAGGCTTGGTATAAAGCTATGCCTCTCGCTGCGGTCACACTCACTTCGACCAGCTTTCCTCACTGATCACTTCTGGGAAGGTCACCGCCAGCAAGAACCAACCCACCACAGAGGCGAACTGACCAAACTCCAGAGGCTCCATTCATCCACGCTTTATTTCAGATCTCAGAATCATGACAGGTGTTCTTGCCCCTCATTTTAGAACCCCACTAATAATCAGATGACACAGAACTTATAGCCCACCCTCACAAATCAGAAAGTGTGCCACTAAACCGTGAACCAGGCCTGGCATCTGTGAAAACCATTCCGCTTCTGGCTGAGCGATGCTTCCTTCTCTCGAGTTCTCTCTGTTCTGAATTTGCCAGTAGTGTCAAGCAGGCATCTTTTTGTCCAACAGGCAGACTGGCAACCAGCAGAGGAAGATCCACGAGGAAGGACGGGCCTGCTGCAGGGCTCACACACTTTCGATGCATACAGAATCCTTTCTATAGCCCAACCCAAAGGGAACCTCATTTAGGAGAAAAATCTAGAGTATTCATTTGTGTAAAAAAAAAAAAAACCCCGACTGTGGTAGAAGAGTATATATACAATTTACTATATGCAAAATACACCTTTTTTTTTTTTTTGTAAACTGGTTTGTGTTTAGCACACTCCACATATGGAAGTAAGTTAGGTACGCAGCTATGACATCCAAAGAGCTGGCTCAAAGGTGAATGTATCCAGCGGGACCAAGAAGCCCCATATATTTTAGTGTCTAATAGAAATTCAATGTAAAAAAAAGTTAAAAACAGGGGAGAGTCATCCTTGGATAGCGATGGACACGTGGATTATAGCCATGACTGTTCGTTCCTGACAAAGTGCTATACCCTAAGACCACTGGTGCCATGTTCTCAGTGCCCGCCTGAGTCTCCACATTTGCCACCATGATTCCTTCTGGACTTGGAAAGTTCTAGAAGACTCAGAAACTATCCAAAGTCTGGGATCCTTTCCACTTTGACTGCCTTGACGCTGAAATGGGAATCAAACATAATTTTAGAAACTGGCTTTGAGTTACAAAAGAAAGCAAGAATGCAGAATCCTAAAATGGTTCTGTCAGGAACCAAGGAACTGCAGGAAACATGAACTTATTCAAGAGGCAGGTGGGCTGGCCTTGTGGGCATCATCTCATCACTAGAGTAGAGTTTACTTTCAGACATAGAGTAAGGAAATACATGTTCACAGAAGTGTTCATTGTAAAACAGTGTGTTAGCACATAGAAAACCTTTCAACTCCATAACCCAATGTACATGTGAATATCTAACAGCTTATTATTTTGCTACTTTTAAAAATATCTAATTTTATACCTTATGCACCCAGACATAATCACTGTATGCATGTATATCTACATTTATCTACATACACACATATCTAGTCACATAACTGGATTCTGTGTGATTAAAGGCATGTTATAGAATCTATATACTTATTTAGATTTTCCACTTAACATGTTAGAATTACCTGTGTTTTGGTGTTTTAAAAACTTAAAACAACAGCCCTATAAATTCATTGATATGAAAGCATCACACTTACCTCAAGCAATTTTCCTTTTCAATTGTCAGTAACGAGATGGGCTAAAAACAAAAACAAAACAGAGAACTGTAGCAGTCTGGGCTAGGCTGCAGGTGGTCCTGGCACCTTCATGCTCAGAAGCAGGATGCAACTAGAGTCACAGACGAATACAGATTAAACCCCAGAAAGTTTAGCAAGGAAAAAGAATGCCAGATAAGGCAGGTTGCTCTAGCATCTGTCTGCACTGCATTTTAAAGGAAGATGAGAACAGAGTGAGACAAACTCAGACACATTCATTCATCCTATGGCGAAGAAGTGACAGTCACTAGGAACGTGTGTGTGTGGTAAGAGTCACTGGGGACTTGTGTACAGTACATTTAGAATAGCAAAAAGCAGATGATGGCAGATGACTTTTGGCCACAAACGGCTTCCTGAAGCTCTGCAGGGATCTTGCTGGACTCTGCATGTATGAGCCCAGATGTGTACGTATCTCCTAAGTAGCTTTCTAACTATGAACCAGAGCTAACCCCGCCATCCTTTCATATTTCGTCAAGACCATGACCTTGACCCCCATGAAGAATTTGTGCAAGGGGAGACGGTAGGAGAACCCCATGTGGAGGGTGTGAGTTTCCAGTCTGGCACACCCAGTCATCACATAGCAGAAGACCGGCACAGATGGAGCAGGTGTAGGCAGGGACACTGTAGGAGAGAGACGGCAGGTGGGCCCTTCCCACTTCTCCCCAAAGCATCTGCAAGCACACTGCACAAAGCCTGACCTCTGCAGCTCAATAACAGGGCATGAATTTGAAGACATATTTCATAGAAACAGTATGGTATATGTTCCCCCAATGTGATTTGTTAGCGTTAGATGGGAAAACATCAAGCAGAGGGTGGTGGCTAATGCTGATAATCTAGCTCTTGGGAAACTGCTGCAGGAGGATTGCCAGAGTTCCAGGCCAGCTGGGGCTGCAAAATTCAGACCTGTTGGAAAGGATTCAAATGGTGCCGTCTCCAGTTGAGCAGCCCAATACTTGCTGTGATGGCAGTTTGATGGGATTTAGAACCACCATGGATACACACCTCTGGCCACGTCCGTGATGGATTCCCTAGATGAGGTTAAGTGAGGTGGGAAGACCCTGCCCTAAATGTGGGTGGCACCTTGCTACAGGTTCACTTCATTAACAACAACAAAAGCCAAATACTAACATTCGTGTAGCTTCTTCCTCACCATGGATCCAATATATCCAGCAGCCCCATGTCCCTGCCACTGTACTGACTGTACCTTGCCACTGCTAGATAAATCCTTCCTTCTCTAAGTTACTTGTGCCAGGGAGCTTGTTACAGCAGAGGAAAATGCCTCTCCTTGGTGCAGACCATGTAGGAGGCAGAATTAGCCCTATGAAGAACATCTCCGGCTTCAGGGCTTATAGGAAAGCCCATTGCTCTTCTTTTTCTGGAGGCAAAAGCCCATGAGCCACCACTGGCCATGACATAGACTAAGTAGAGGCTGTGAGTGTCTGTGTCTGTGCAACCGAATAGTAAAGATAAAGGGAAACCAGATCAGATTACCAAGTCCATGTGAAGGGAACAGGCAGCCAGACTTATGTGTATAGAAGGTCTTTAGGGGTCTTCCCTATGATCCATGGCTCTGCGGGTGTCATGAGGGGAGGCTGAGTGGCACTGGCTCGGCTGATAGGTTGGCAAGGCACCTTTATTTATTATGTTTGACTCACGTTTAGATTCCATCAGAATCAGCCATGTAATAAGAGCATCCCCGCTATCATGAACTACAAGCCCTATGGAAGGGGACTGCACTAATCTAAGAGTGAACTCTGACCCTCGCAGTTTCTAGGCAAGTAGAGCTCTCATTGACACCTTTTACAGATGTGGAAACTGAGACTTAAGGATGTCATTAGCACTTCACGATGGCACAGTTAAACAGTGAAAATTTACCCCAATCTAGAGCCCAGAGTCTTCTCACAGGGGTTGGGGGTCTCGTTGAGGCTAGAATGACTCTGTCTATAGGGCTTCTGAGGTGCTGCTCTCTCATCTTCAGAAATTAAACAGGCCTAGTCTGTGTTCTCCTCCCTGCCCAGATGAGCCGGCAACTCAAGAGGCCCGCCAGATCCCCACATACAGTGGGCACTCAGGATCAGGAGACCGGCCAGGTCCCCACAGGACACTGGGGATTCAGGATCAGGAGACCCGCCAGGTCCCCACAGGACAGTGGGGAGTCAGGATCAGGAGACTCACCAGGTCCCCACAGGACAGTGGGGAGTCAGGATCAGGAGACCCGCCAGGTCCCCAGGACAGTGGGCACTGAAGAAAGAGGGTAGGTCTTGGTGTGAGTGTCACTGAAAAAGTCGCTTCTGTGACATATGAAGAACCTTTCAGTTTTGGGGGACTTACATTATTGAAAATCGAGACAAAGCAAACACTATCTTCAACCTGTCTTTGGAGCCATCTTACTACCTAGAGAGCACAGAGGAAGGACTTCAGGCACTAACACAGCCCCAGCTTCCTCTCCCAGGAGTGTGGAATGCTGGGTCCTTCCCAGACACACCTTCAAAGGGATACCAAAAGCAGAATCATCACAAAATCACCCGGAAGCACTAGGTATTTAACGCCGCTAGAGCATCCTGGCTGCTTTTCCTATTCTATTGCAATCACTTCCTCCTCTGCAGGAAGTCAGATCCAAGCTTTAGCAAGTCTTACCGTGTTCCTGTTATGCAGACTTGAGCTGCTAAGTCAGAAGAACCACTAGCCCAGAAAACCAAGTGTTTTGCCCTAGAGGCAGATGCCTGTGGGACTGAGTGGGGACTCCGTATTTCATTAAGTTTATCTCACCATGTTTAAGGAAGGCATCTGGCCCTCTTTTACACCCAAAGGCTCAGGACCAGGGCATGGCAGGACAGGTTCAAGGATGAGAATTGGTGAATGCCTAGCAGGCATGTCTACATGATGACCCTAAGGGTCCCAGGTTAGCTAAGAAAGCAAGCCATCACAAAACTGTGAAGCTACTAAAAGGCTCATGAGATTTCTAGTTTGTTTTCATTTCATAACCTTTGTTTGTAACTTGATTGTGTAATTCTTTTGTTTTTTTTTTTTTTTTGTTTTGAGACAGTGTTTCTTTGTCTGTGTAACTTTGGCTATCCTGGAACTCCCTCTGTAGACTAAGCTGGCCTCGAACTCACCGAGATCCTCCTGTGTCTGCTTCCAAGTGCTAGAATTAAAGGCATGCACCACCACCACCTAACCCAGACTATGTGATTCTTGAGTGTGAACTTTACAGATGAGGATCATGTCAGTATCAAAAGCTGAACACTTTCGAGTGCAGACTTTGACATCACGTCTAAATGGCAGTGTTCACAGCAGAATAGGAGCACCGAGAGGTTCCTGGCTCTCAGAGACAATCCTCCCACTGGCAAGCTGAGTCGGCTCTCCCTCTGGAAACATTGCGTGGATGCGGTGGACTCTGCCAGACCTCCCAGAGCTTTCAGTCCCATGCTCCTGGCGCTGGACTGCTAGACCCTCTTCTAAGACGGGCTTGTCACGGGCTTGTCGCCAGCTCCAGGGCAGTCAGCAGAGGATCCTTCCACCAGAGCTCCCATGGCACAACTTTGTGCCAACTGGTCCACCCGAGGGGCTCTACCTTCCCAGGTGGACCAGATCCCACAACGGAGGGAGATGAGGTGTAAAGGCCGCGTCTGGCCCCTGAGGGTAACTTCTAACAGGCCATACTTGCTTCAGAGCTCCCCGCAGCTGAGATAAGGCTGCGGCATGTCTTTCTAGACTTCTGATCCTTCCTTTCACAACTATGGACCCTCGCACACATTTGTACCCCAAATTCCATCTCAGCATCTTTGCCAGAGACCCAGCCTTCCACACCCTCCCACCCACACAGGTCTCTCTCCAGCACCCTCCATGCAGCCTCAAGGAAATGTTCAGCACTAGAGCAGGCATTTGGTGATGTCAGCACCAGAAGTCAGTTCTGCACACTCAGCAGGTCCTCGGAGAACTGATGCTGGGTGTCATTGGTAGGAAAGAGCTCACCTCTGGCCTGCAAAAATCTCAGCTAAGATATGTGAGACACCCTCTAGGCTCTCCATGCTGGGAAGGGGGAGGCCAGTACACAACACAGGACAACCATGGCACTGTCTATGTGCTCTGGACCAAGCCTGGTAAAATGAGATTTGCCCTGAAGCGACCTCACAACACAGCATCCTAGCATCCAAGTTCAGCACACTGTCAGAAAAACAGATGCGTATCCCCCACTTCAGAGCCTTACTGACCCCCGCTTTATCATCACCACTTCAGCTACGGCCGGAACATCTGAACAGCAATAGGTTCATAAACAGAGATTCTGACCATGCGGATGGTGGTATCATGAAGCTGGGGCGGGAGGACCACTTTGGGCATGAAACCCCAGAAAACTCACAGACCCCCACAACATGAGGACACAGTGAGGATAGGAAACGCCATCTATGAAAAATCTGCCCTTATCAGAAACAGAATGTGGTGGCGCCTTGGCCGCCCATTCCCCAGCCTACAGAACCATGAGGAAGAAACTTCTGGTCTTTATAAGCTATACTGCTTACTGTGCTTTGTTATAGCAGTTCAGACACCGAAACAATACCTCTCCCCACATATGACAAGCTGAAAGAAGAGATTCTTATTTTACACTTTTGGAATGTTCCAAGTTGTAAGTTGGAGGGGGAAAAACCCTTTTTTTCCTTCTGAAAGGAGAAATTCTACTGACTTTCTTGTTCCCGTTCCTCGTGAAACCAGCACTTCTGCTATCTCTAGGAAACGTGGCTAAAGATGACGATGCCCCTGACTAGAAGGGGGCATCCTATGTGGCAGCACCTGATGAGGAGCCCACGCTGGCAACTTCCCTCAGTGTGGTGTCTATTCTTTTAAGGGGAAATGTCCCACGTGGAGCATGGGGCTTCTAGGACAGCGGGATTCCCTCTTGTACCAATGTCTGACTCACTCCTTTGTGGGCAACATCCCCTGGGGTGCTGACCATTGGCTTGGCGCGCTGGCTGTGTAGACATGGGGAGGACCACAGAAAGTCTGCCCCCTAGTGGACGTGTTTGTCTGAAATTTTAGTGGGGGTGCAGCAGAATTCACTTGGCAGGTAATACTCAGAGTTATCTGGCAAATCCAGACTCACATAGGAAACTCCAGGGAGCATAAAAGCACAAGAATTTTGAAAGAAAAGCTTGAGTTCTTTTTCTGGCTGATTATAGTTAATTTTCCAGAGAGAAAGAAAGGAAGCAAAGGAGGGAGGAAGGCAGAAAAGGTCTTTAAGTCACTACTTGGTGATTTGGGGCAGAGGGGCTAAGTAAAGGTGTGCACGCATGCAACCCGTTAGGGTCTAGAGTCCCTCATAGCATTTGAAGATGGCATTCAGTCCAGAGGCTACCCCATTTCACTGCTGAGGAATCCACTGAAAATTTAGATGATGGGCATCGTGGAATGCTATGCGGAGTGTGACCAGAGCTAGCTAGGGACAGTGCAGTGGCATGCAGAGGGAGGTGAAGGGCATCAGAGCATGCAGAAGGCTCGGTGTCAGGTCCAGCAGAGACAAGAAGGCTCACCCCAGGCTAGGCATGCACTCCAGGCTTTCTTTTACCTTGTCATAACGGGATTGTGAACACCATATAAGTGATCTTTATGATAACCATTACTACCGTTTTCCAAACTGCAACAAAAATAAATACACCAGAAACACCAAGTTACCTCCAGGGTGAAGCATTCATGCTATGGATCACAAAGATAATGTAAAGGCTACAATGTAAAGGACAATCTGGGTCACAGATTGTCTGGTCTGCAAAGGTGGTTTGAGGATGTGCTACATGCCCATCTTCCCTCTTTCGAAACCACAAATGGAAGCAGTGGTTTCCCAGAGCGATGCGTCTAATGTATAAAACGCTCATTCGCTCCATTCGTAAGCACCTTCTATGCACCAACCCTCTTTCTAAGAGGTGCCACCATTCATCTCTACCCAGACTTCTCTGTTGTTCTTATGCCATATTATTAACTTAACTACAGGTCTACCATGTAGTAGAAACCTCCCCCATCCCATCTGTGAAGACAATTTTTTAAAAAGGCTTACTTTTTCATGGGGACAGTTTCAACACTATAAAATATAAAAAGGGAAGACAGGGTTATTTGCTTGTTTGATCACTAGGAAGGCCATGATCTACACCCTCCTCCCCATCCCCCCACTCCTAGTGATTTCACTGCTGTCCGGGCTGACAGTTCAGATTACAGAGATGACGAGAGAAGACAAGAAGGGAAAAGCAAACATGCGTGTTCAACAGACAAAAAGCAAAGGGCAGGCAGCAGCGCCAAGGAAAAGTGGTAACAACGGTTATCATAAAGTGAAATGCCATGTTCCCGAGACAGGCGAGCTGAAAACAGAAGAAGGCTGGTTAAAGACGCTGAGTAAAGAGGAAGGAAACAGAATCATAAGATTGGTTATAAACAAATAAAAACAAGACCACCGCCACCACCACCAGCAGCAGCAGCGGAAAGGGGACAATTGTTCTCTTGAGGACTGGCCTTTGGTGGCTCTCGGGGGACAGTGCTGCACACAAACCACCCCACACTCACTCGTCATATATGTCCTCTGAATCCATCCTGCGATAGTACTTGGCCAGCTTGACAGCGATGATCACAGCGGGAAGCAAGAGCACCGTAGCTTGTCCGATGCCGAACCAGAACAAATTCTGGGGATTAAGACGACAACAACGGTCAGGAGAAATAAATGCTTGGGGACAGATAAATAGGAGAGACCATTCGCTATGGGAAGAATTCCTTTTGCAATTTTTAAAACTCTTACTCTGTTCTCAAAATCAACTGTGAACCTAGCAGGAACCAGGCACAAAGGACACTGGGAAAGGTTATTGTAACGGAGATAATCTTTCCGCAGGGCAAGCAGGTGAGAGCCCAGGTTCTTGCTTATTCTCTAAGAGAGGAACAGAAGCATCTAGTGGTGAAACTAAGATTTGGTCTAACACAGTCAGAAAACACATCACATAGTGTATCTTTGTTAGGCTGGCTGTCTAACCAAGACAGCTGGCAGCCAGCAAGCTCAGGTTTAACTGTCTTTCCATATAGTTTACTGTAAATATGGACAGTTGGCTTTTCTGATTTTTTTTCTACATCTGAATAGTCAAGACATTGGCAACTTCAATCTACAGAGCCAGGGCTGGGCTACCTCCCCGAGAGCTGGTCAGAAAGGCTCCTGAGATCTCCAAAACAACACAGGCAATTGCCATTGCTGTTGGGGGCAAACCAGACTGAACGGTAAGACTCCGTCGCTATTGCCATATACACTGGTTATACGACATAGAGAAAGCAGGCTGGAACTGGACTAGAACTTCACCCTCATAGTGCCAGAGAGGCTGTGCAGGCTGCTGTGGGAGCATTGTTCTCAAAAGCCTTACTCAGCGTGGCTCCTGTGTGTAGCACTCTCTGCAGACCAGAGCAGATGTACCCACAGAGGCAATAGAGGCAAGTCCGGGATGGGACAACCAACCTATTTCTAACTGGATTGGAAGCCTGCTCTGCAAGAGAAAATTCATATCGAGTCCTGGAAACGCAGTCAGAGCCTGTGCCTGGGAGGGTGCAGGCCCTGATGAGGAAGCTACTGTTGTAGCTGTGCTAAACAGACATGAAATGCTCATAAAATTACCTTCCAAATAATTATATTTATCCTTATTTGTTGGTGCCACTGTCAGTTTTGGACAGAGAGGCTTCTTCTTTCAGTGAACAAAGGTAGCTAAAGATGGTCATAATTGGCCAAAATCACAATGCGGCTTTTGAATGTCCGACCATCAATGCTGCATCTGCATCACTCCCACCAAGGCTCAGGAAATCTCTCAGAGGAAGGTGAAGACAGACAGGAAGAGCACATGGTGTGGGTGCTGTGGAATCCTGCTTTCCATGCATGGCATGGCTGTGACAGTCTCCAACAAAGCAGAGCTGTGTTCCCTGCACAGGACTGCACAAGGCTGGACCCGTCAGCATCCTGCCATGGAGAGGGTGGGGCTCACGAAGCCCAGGCCTCCCTGGGAATTTATAGGCAGTTAATGGTTGACGGGATAAGAAAAACCACTTTCCTTGGTAGTATACCACTGGTAAGGGTGTCCACCCTCCTCTAAATAACCCTTCACCATGTCCCTGGAAACAACCCCAATGAAAACCATTGATGATCAAGAGGAACTGGTTGGGAAAAGGAAGGTGAGCAGAGTGATGGGTGGGGGACAAGGGAAGATGACGGTGGCACCTCTCTGGCTCCTGATCTTCAGAAAAGGAACAGTGATGTCATAAAGCTGTAAAACTCTCTGAACAAGGTGGAAAACGTAGAGAACTACTAATAACACAATGGGGGCGGAGAGAACACATTTACGCAATATGTCTTCTCTTTTTGAAAGGTGAAGTTCTTACCAGAGGGTCAGTAGCATAGCTACACAGAACACCACTGACAGCCGAGTCCATCGCAGTGACCACAGGTTTGCAGGATGTCATCTTCTCTGTGACCTGTGGGATGGAAAACAGGCAAATGTGCACTGCGGCTCACAAAAATTCATGCCGTCAGATGTGACCCCTGACTGGATTCACAGGAGCATCCAGAAGTGTGCATCACGGGAGTGTCCTGGAAGCCCTGGAGCTGGCAGCCGATGAGCCAATGAGGAGGTCTACAGCTGGTACAATTACATCCATTTACAGAAAGACTTCAGTCCCCTTGAGCTGCAGTTCTCCTCATTTGTTGTCTAGAATATTAAGACTCATCTTGCAGAACTTCTAGGGAATGAAGACATGCACACGCCCAGCCTAGTGCTGCAGGGTTCTTTTATCTGGCGAAGGAGTGAGCATCAGATGAAAGAAACTGTATAGCAAAAGTGAGCCAAGGGGATTAGGGAGAGGTGTTCTCCCTCATGGGAAGGCTGGCCCCAAAGGTTCTGGTTCCCCATATCCAAACCCTCTTGAGACAGGCGAGCATAAGGAAATCTTGGCAATACAGGACTCCACTTGGCTTGAACTATACACTAGCCCTTCCCTAATTATGCGCTGAGTCACCTGGGACCCCCACTGCATCGGTGGAGTTATGCACACACCCCTCCACCCCAAACAGCAGTGTGTCACTCCACCATAGCAACCTTCCTGTAAACTCCCTGTGTTCATTCAGAAAAGTCCTAGAACATACTCTGAGACTCAAAGGAGTGGTGGAGAAATGGGAACCCAACCTGGGCTGATTTGGGGCTTATTCACAATAGGGCACACTGTACGCATAAGACGGCAAACCATGTGCACAATACAGCATGCACAATACAGTAAACCATGTACACAATACAGCAAACCGTGTGCACAAGACAGCAAACCGTGTGCACAAAATGGCAAGCCGTATGCACAATACAGGAAACCATATCCTTTGAATGAACATCTAAGGGAAACCCCTACTTCTTAAGCTTCTGCATAGTTGGAAGTGCACATGATTAAAGTCAGACGCAACATGGAAAAGGATGTGAGAAGTGAACGAAGACTTTAAACCTTCAATTAAAACAAAACATCACTCCTCCTACCCCAGTAACAACTCTACCTTCTGGACCCCATACAAAAAAGCCTTAATGAGTAGCCAGCTCACTTTGGGCAGCCTGCCTCGGACAGCCTGCTGCTTCCTTGCAGCATCTGGTGCTCTCACTGCGCCACTGAGTAAAATCCTAGCTATTTTTCCGTTCACTTATGTGGTTCCTCATTCAAAACATGGAGGACCTGGCGCATCCAGTCCAGGCAGACACTTTCGCTTATCTCCAACCAAAATCTCCAGGATTTTAATCTCCTTCAGATTTTATGCCAGACAATGATTCTCCTGCAAGGTGGCACCCTTTATGTTCATAAAAGACACAGCTACTTACGGCATACAAGACCCAGTGCAGGTAGTGTTCAAAGTAGCCTACTATTGTTTTCGCAAACTTCTTCGTTTCCTAGAAGAAATCAAAGATCGGGGCCATTATTAAAGTAACTAGCACGTACTTAATGGACATAGCTACTTCATTCTGGAATCCTCACGCGGCACTTGATCTACACACGTGCTTAAGAAAAGAAAACTTACTTCAATAACAATAGAGGAAATGTTACTGATGAGGAAATTCTGAGCAGAATCCAAAGACATGATGGTCTTGTTCACTCTCTCCTGGAAAACATAACAATTGGAAGGGGAACAATTAATTAACTAGGCAATTTGCAAATCAATTAGAGGCCTATGGAGGCTGATCACAGGGTCCCCATTCACCTTACTCAAAATCTTCAGGTTCTGGATGCTCCTCTGTATAATGGAGCGGTACCATCATACAGCCCATGCCATCTGCTTGGGCACATTAATATCTGAGTAACTATGGCTATCCTGGAACTTGCTCTGCAAACCAGGCTGGCCTTGAACTCAGACCTGCCTGTCTCTGCCTCCTGAGTGCTGGGATTAAAGGTGTGCGCCACCACCACCTGGCTCAATTAACCTTTTATGGCAAGGAAGGGGGAGGTTTACTAAATGTGTGAAAATTTTTCTGACTAATTCCCCCTAAAGAATACAGGACAGCAGCTAGTTAAACCATGTTGCGACTGCATTAAGTGCTGTAAGGAAACTAGAGATGGTTTCAGTACACCAGAAGGTGTACCAATGTTGGGCACGCATACTGTATAGTTGATGTAAGGGACTTGAGTACTCATGGCGTGTCCTGGAAGCCATCCACTTCTCTACCTCATGATGACAATGGTTGTGACCAAGCGACTCGTTTCAGCTGACGGGATGGAGGACAAGTGGCAGTATTCTGAGCAGCAGCTTAAAGGCAATCCTACACCAATCCGTGCTCTTGCTCATGCCCCAAGCTTGTGTCGTTCTGTTAACTGTTTGATAACTGAAATGCTCCTCCTCAAAACCACAAACAGTAAATCTCTCTGGGGGGTGTCCCCTTTTGGTGGACTGGATGAGCCTGGCCCAATAGGCTCAGATATTTGAAAATGTGGTCTCTAGCTGCTGGAACACTTTAGGAAGGATTAGGAGGTGTGGCCTTGTTGGAGGAAGTGTGTCACTGGTGGAGGGAAGTTTAAAAAGCCCATGCCCTTCCCAGTTAGCACTTTCTCTGTCTTTTCCTAGCCCCCTCTCTCCCTCTCTCTTTTCCCCCTCTCCTCTGCATGTTTGTGGATCAGATGTAAGCTCCAGTACCAAGCCCATCTATCTACTGCCATGCTCCCACCAGCTGCGACAAGAGCCTGCTCTTCCAGGCTGAGGTTTCAGGGGAGGGTGATTAGAAAGGCCTGTGGCTTGGCTAGCAGTGATGGTGAACGCATGTGGTCAACAGGGCCGAGAGCACCATTGATATGCAGCTCAATCTAAAGCAACCATGCTTTAAGTTCACCTCCTACACAGCGAGACCCGGACTCTTGAAACTTGCACTCACAGAAGCACTTGGGAGAAGGGAAGCCATGGGAAAACCAAGTTTGGTATTCAAAATTCTCCCAACACCTCCTTTTAACTTAAACTACTTATGAAAACCAATACCTCTGAAACTCTAGGTGGGATGTTTGATAACAAAACCTCATGAAAGAAGATGAAACCCTTACCGGCAACTTCTCGCTTATGTGCTCAAGTGTCCGGATATTTTGTTTTAAAGTATTCTGATGAGGGAAAAGAAAAGCATTTCAAAGAACAGCTTATCCAAAGCATCAAGAACACAGGCCTTCTATCAGCCCCTCTCCAACACAGACATCAAATCTGACTATATAGTATAATGGCTGCATTCTTGAAAGTACAACAGACAGGAGCCACAACATGGGCCTTATACACCATTAGGGTGTAAGAAAACCCATAGAAGAAAAACGGGGTCATATTCAAAGGCTTGAACAGCAGCATATCACACACACACAGCAGACAAGAATGCCTTCAAAATAGGTTTAATCAGTGGGAAGAGCATCATTAAAACAGAGCCTGCCTATCAAGTGTGGTTTACTTGAATGGTTTAGGTTAAGATGGAAATTTTTACCTGTAAAAGGCCACACTGTAAAATACTTCCGATTTCAGGGGCCATATATTCAATTTATTTATTTATTTGTTTATTTATTTATTCATTTATTTTTGAAACAGGCTTTTCTCTGTGTAATAGCCCTGGCTGTCTTGGAACTCTCTCTGTAGACCAGGCTGGCTTCGAACTCAGAGACCTGCCTGCGCCTATCTCCTGAGTGCTGGGATTAGAGGCGTGCGCCACCACCGCCTGGTGCCATATTCTATTCTCATAGCCAAAAATGGCCATAGTTTTCTAATAAACAGCAATGGCTGTCCCATTTTTTCTTCTTCTTTTTTTTTAATTTATTAAAGATTTCTGTCTCTTCTCCACCTCTGCCTCCCCTTTTCCTCCCCCTCCCCCAATCAAGTCCCCCTCCCTCCTCAGCCCAAAGAGCAATCAGGGTTCTCTGCCCTGTGGGAAGTCCAAGGACCACCCACCTCCATCCAGGTCTCGTAAGGTGAGCATCCAGACCCATTTTTTTTTTTTTTTTTTTTTTTTTTTTGTAAACTGGCAACAGGCTGGACCACATCATAGCCACCCATAACATCCCATCCTTCTCTTTTCTTCTATTATTTGAAACTTGATTGTTTGATGAGGGCCAAAGGGGAGTTTGAAACCGGATCTGTGTGGTTCCAAACTACAAACTACCTCTGTGACATTAGAAGCAAGGGGAACAGAAAGCTGGGGTAGAGAAGAGGAGAAAGAGAGTGTAGCCATGGAGGGCGCCGGCAGAGCTAAGGGAAACAGAAGAAGCACTTACCCTCACCTTCATGTATTTCAAAGCAGAGTTTGGAGAAAAAGAATTGGAGAATATGTCAGCATGAGCCCAGAGCACAATCACACTGCCCAGTAGGCCTATGGTAGGAGCGCAAGCTAGAGCGAGGCCCTGCAGGCGGGGGTGGGGCGCACCTCACCGCTCATGCGCTCATGGAAGGAACAGAGGGAAGCACAGTGAAGGGAGGCATGAGGAAAGGTGGTGGGTTTTAAAGCCCAGCTCCACAGCCGGGGCTGAGGCTGAGTGGTTGGGACCTCCGTCAGACAAGTGCGTGTCTTCAGGTTATCTGCAGGGCAACTAGATAACTAGGTGCTAGATTTCACTCAGGCGGCCAGGACACGAGACAGGTTGTTGACTGTTACCAGTGATTTCTGCAGAGGAAGGACTTCCTGCTCGTGAATGTCTTTAATTCTCTGCACCTGTGTTTTCAAGTCCTGCTTCAGGTTTCCGTCAGGCTACAAGGAATAGAAGACAAAGCATCAACACCATCCTTCTGGGCCTCAGAACAGATTCTTTAGCCATAAAAGACACCAGAAGACACCACATGACCACAGGACAATTATGAGATGGGTGGGCATCAGAGCTAGCTAGGAGACATAGCACAAACTGCAGAGCCACGGACTCAACGCTTCACACTCAAAAGCACTCCCTAAACACAAGACGCTATGGTTTCCTTTCCCCTGCCTCCAAATGATGGAGCCAGTCAGTTTCCCTGTTTTACAGCTGAGGGAAACCAAGGTTCAACTGAAGATTGTTCAAGTTAATTCACATCTAAATGACGGTCAGCATCTGAACTATAGCAATCCTGGAAGGCGGGGATAATTATTTTCTCCATTTTTACAGATGGGGAAACTCAGGCACGGGTGAGTGAGACACCTGGATTAGGCTACTAGCATTAGGAAGAGACGGAGTCAGGATTTGAACTTGGGTCTTCCTTATCACCACAGTCAGCTGTTTGTTAGAGGGGACAAGTCGGGCCATGCAGAAGAGCTTGGTGCCTCTGCTCAATCTTATATGCCTACTGTGGTGATGGAAGGCACAGCTCAGTTACTAATCCTTTACACTGCAAGGAAATGTGTGTGTACATATGTATGTGTGCATGTCTGTGTATATGAGTTAGCACATGTGTCTATATGTACATGTATGTGTGCATGTCTTCATGCATGTTTGTCTGTATGCTGTATATGCATCTGTGTATATGTATACTACTGTGTGTCCCCATTACGCATGTCTGTGTGTGTATGAATGTGTATATCTACCTATATATGTGTGTGTATGTATGCATGCTTGTATATGTGCATGTTGTGTATATGTGTGTGCATATGTGCATGTGCATGCATGCATGTGAACAGGTATTTGAAGTAGAGGTGTTGATCTGTGAAAGCCCATGCAGAGGTAAAGTTTTTTAGCCTTCTAAACCACATAGGGACAGTTGCCAATGGGGTCTCTAATGTTTTAGTGAGGTTCTGTGAGAAAAAGCCAAGCCATGGTAACAGGGACATCTTTGTAACTTCCTAAACAATGATATCAATATTTGCCTTTCTGACTATGACAGTATTCAACAAGACCATTGAACTCACCAACTTGTCTGTCTTTTCTTCCAGAGAAGAAGCAACCACCAGCAGATCTACTATGGTAGGAGATTTCTCAGCCTAACAGGGAGGAAATGAAAAAAAAAACCATGTTACAGTCATGGGCTTCTGAAACAAGAAGACCATCGAAAGGTAGCACGTTGAACATGGGGCCATAGCCATCAGGAAACCAAAGAAGGCTAGAAACTCCTACCCAGGCTAGAACCTTTGCATTTCTATTTCTATGGATTATTTTTACTCGTCCATTAACACTATAACATTCACAGATTTTAAAAACATGCTCGGTGGACGAATCTAGAAATGTAAGCCACAAAGTGTATGTTGCTACTTATGTAGATGATACAGAAGAAAGCGTAGATGGGTGACTTCCAGGAATGTGGGACTAGGTAACAACTGCTCTTAGGTACAGTGTTTCCTGTGGGTGATGGAAACACGCTGGGACTTGAGGTGCTAACTATGAATATGCTAAAAGCCACTAAACTGCTGGCCTTTAAAGCACTGACCTTTATGCTATGGGAATCCACTGTTGTGATAAACAACAACAAAAATACACATGTATGATATCCTAATTTCTCCCCAAAGACCATACACATGTGTATCTTGCTCATACCTCCTTCAAGTACGTGGGATAATCGATTGCATCTATCCCGGATTTTACAAAGTTCTGCAGATTGTCCCTTCCTGTTTTGTTGAGCAGTTCAATGTTATCAATATCCACATTCAGGTTGTCCAACTCCTTGATTATTTTTCCAGTATGCTGTATAACACAAAAGAATCCTTTTATTTTCCAAGAAGGTCACACACTCAATGTCTTCAAGAGGAACGAGAAAACACTGGATCGAAAGGGATGCATCTACTTTGTTTTGAATTACTTTCTCCTCAGACTCCTTAAGTATTCTCTCTGGAGGTGGAATTTAAAGTGAAATACGATTGCATCTCCCCCCGTGAAGCTCTTGGAGTGAAGAGGCTAAGTCATAAAAGAGGGATGCGTGAACTCCATCAGAAGACCAGGCAGAGAGGACTCAGTGGAAGTGGACTGGAGAGAAGAAATGACATCTAGTCTTGATAAAGGAGGCTGAAAGGAAAGAGAGGGAGGGGACCAGCAAGCACTTGGGTAGTAGGGAAGGCATGGGAGCTACCTTCTGTGAGACAACGATCTTGGGAATGTGGTTGCTGAGATGGATCTATCCTAACAGCCAATCAGTAGCTTCCATCAGCATACAGTGCTGGCTACCACTCTCAACTGTTACTTAACATGGTGCAGGGAAAATGGCCCATAGCATGATGGACAAAGGAGTACAGAAAAATCTGTTTAGGACTTGGTCACAAGATGAAGTTTTATTTATGGGAATATTTAAGGGAAACTCAATGCAAACCTTTCAAACAAAAGGTCTTCACATTGGTATGCTGTAGAGTCATCGTGGTCCCCTTGGTTCCTCTAATGACCTTCCATGCTGTTAAAGTGAGCAAGATGTGCCAGGACCTTCTCCCTTGGTCTTGCTTGAGATCTATCTACTTATTATGGAAGCTGAAAAGACCAAAAAAGGTCTCCTCTAGACCCGGAGCAGAAACTATTGCTTTCTTCTGTTCGGTGTCTCTAGGATAAGACATGACAAGGGTGTGGGCTGGAGCACAGCTAAGATGGTCATTCTACTCCTTTTGATTCTATCCTTTCTGCTTCTTGCCACAGGTAGGTAGTGCTCACATAATCCATTCAGTAGTCCTGGGGTGACAGTGCTTAAGTTGTTAGGAATAAGGAGGGTGACCACATTTCTCTATGCCTGATTCCCAAGTCTGGAACCTGGCATAATAGAGGAACTGGTCCTGGGAATGAGTAGGCTTATTCTTAAAGAGCATGTTCACTAGATGAAGTTAATGGTCTCTTTGATGACAACTTATGCTGGAGAGGTTGTGGGGTAAAGGGAACATTCCTGCATTGCTGGTAGGAATGCAAGCTGATACAGCCCCTTTGGATGTCAGTGTGGTGATTTCTCAGAAAATTAGGAAACAACCTTCCTCAAGACCCAGTAATACCACTTTTGGGTATATATCCAAAGGATGCTCAATCGTGCCACAAGGACATGTGCTCAACTATGTTCATGGCAGCATTGTTTGTCATAGCCAGAACCTGGAAACAATCTAAATGCCCCTCGACTGAAGAATGGATAAGGAATATGTGGTACATTTACACAATGGAATACTACACAACAGAAGAAAATAACAACATTTTGAATTTTGCAGGCAAATGGATGGAGCTAGAAAACATCATTTTGGGTGAGGTAACCCAGACCCAGAAAACAATTATCACATGTATTCACTCATAAGTGGTTTTTAAAAATAAAGCAAAGAGGGCGGTGGTGGCGCACGCCTTTAATCCCAGCACTTGGGAGGCAGAGGCAGGCGGATCTCTGTGAGTTCGAGACCAGCCTGGTCTACAAGAGCTAGTTCCAGGACAGGCTCCAAAACCACAGAGAAACCCTGTCTCGATAAACCAAAAAAAAAAAAAAAAAAAAAAAAAAGGGAAAAAAAATAAAGCAAAGAAAACCAGCCCACAAATCACAATCCCAGAGAACCTAGACAACAATAATGACCCTAAGAGAGACATACATGGATCTAATCTACATGGGAAGTAGAAAAAGACAAGAGCTCCTGACTAAATTGAGAGCATGGAGACCTTGGAAGAGGAGTGAAGGGGAAGGGAGAGGCATGGAGGGGAGCAGAGAAAAATGTAGAGCTCAATAAAAATCAAAATAAATAAATAAAAGAAATTAATAAAAATGAAAAACATAGAAATCTATAAACAAACAAACAAAAGAGAAATTAACAGTTTCCCTAAGAAGTCTCTTATGGGAGATCTCTTTGGAAGGTCTTGCACAGTTTATCGAAAAAACTCAATGTGTATAAAAGAGAAAGACAACTGGTTGGGGGGTGTGGAGGTGTTCTGAGATTAAAAGATAAAGGTAAGGATGGCAAACAGCTTGCAGAGAAAGAGTAGATCCTAAGCAGGACCAAGGGAGAAGGTCTTGGCCCACATCTTGCTCAATTGGTATCATGGAAGGTCCTTAGAGGAGCTAAGGGAGCCATGATGGCTTTACAGCTTTGCAATGTGAAGAGCTTCTATTAGACAGGTTTATACGAGCTTTGTACCCATTGTAATCTACTCAGTGTTACATTCAGATGGTGTGTTTTATCTTTTGTGGGCTTCGCATCAGCTTTAACCAAAGGAAGAAATGCACCTGGGTCTCTTAGTAAAATGCGGTCAAGTTTATGACCGGATCTAACGACTCACCTTCTCAATGTTGAAATTCTCGCTGACGTTGAAAACATGCTCAAGCTGAAAGGTAGCGTATACACCCCGACCTTTTTTGCAATCACTATGGGGAGAAACAAAGAAGAAAGAACCAGATCAACACTAGAGATCTGACTTTCACTAAGGATGAGGAGAACGTTTAGCCACCCCCCCTTCCCCGCCCAGGCTAGCAGGACTAATTCCCTAGCTGGCAAAAGTACACGATGGGAAGTAAGTACAGCATCTCTTACCCCAGGCCTAGGGGGAAGGGGATAGCACACACTATTGAGAGACTTACTCTAAAAGCTGAACCAAAGGAAAAAAAAAATCAGTTTTTCCTTGAGTGGTATTAAACAACAATGAGTTCCTCAGGACTGAGGTCAGGCACTTTTTGGTCTTGTCAGGTGACCCAGATTTTGAGGTGCTGAAGCAAGACCCCCAGAATCCACCCGGTACTTTCATGTGTGCACTCATGTGGCTATTGAACATCAAAAGACATTTACTGAGGAAGGTGGAAAAACCCAAAAGGGACTGTGAACATGATTAGGACTGCCACCCAAGAGGAACATTCTGGGGAAGAAGCGGCTTCCAGGGGCAGGATGCTGGCAGCTTGAATGTTTTCTCAGCCAGCTCACTGCCCAGGAGGGGGCAAATAAAAGTAAAGTGTTCTGAAACAAGGTGTCCATTACACACGAGACGGATCTGTCACGCCATGCTGCCGGGCTTGAAGATTTAAGTTTATAAAAGGGTTAGAGAAGTCCGTGTATCGTTTAGTATCGCAGGGATGTTAGCGACGGGAGTCAGGATGTTCTACCAATGTTCTTACACGTCAGGGGTGGAAAATGCATGTCAATGAACAATCACCAAACACTGTTTTATCATGTTCTCATAGTGGGTTGGGCACTACTCCAAACACCTGCATTTCACCTGGTTCTTCAAACCCCAAGGGGAGATTCCTACTGTTATGCAACACACTAAATGGAGAGAAATCAAATTGTTCAGGGCCACAGGAACAAGACAAGATCTCAGGTGCTCTGACTGCACAATGCACAGGCTAGCCCGAAAGCTGGCTCACTGTTGGAACCTAGGCGATCTGACTGCATGCACAGGCTAGCCCGAAAGCTGGCTCACCATTGGAACCTAGGTGATCTGACTGCACAATGCACAGGCTAGCCCGAAAGCTGGCTCACTGTTGTGGTGTCGGTGATATGTGCCAGTCTCTGAGTTCTTAATGGATTTTGTTAATGACTCTTACTGTTAACGTAGGCAGGGAATCTTAGGGAATACCTAGACAGGGCTTGAGAAAATACCAAGATTAGGTCATAAAGGCTTGAAAACGCGACCTTTGGGAGAGGTATCTTTTCCATGATATTTTGCTGAGACTAGAAAACAGTTTAGCTCTGAAATTAATTGGAACTTCTTACCATTAAGTTAAAAAAAATGCTGAAAGTGAAAAGCTCATTCTTAACAACAACAACGAAATTTTCAGGAGGAAAACGTCTACTGCAAGGATTAATACCTGTAAACTTGTTCAAATGTCAGGTTAATGTTTGGGTTGTTGAGCATCAGGCCCGAGAGATAGAACTGCCAGTCTTCTCTTAGCAGGTGGGGAGTGTCCAAAAGCTGGAACAAACACAAAAGTTGCTTTTGATGACAGTTGCACAACACTGACTCACGCAATCACGATTAACCAGTTCGACATTCGAGGTATTTAATGCTGCGCTATTCCTGTTCATTACAAACCCTGAACTGGAAAACAACAGCACAATTAGGATAAATGGGGTGGGCACTGAGGAACATCGACCCGAACCACTGCAACTGTGGTTTTCAAGCAACTTGAATTTATTAAACATATTAGAATAAGAAGGACAAGACTGTTTATTTGGTTTGGAAGAATTAAGAGAAAGTCATAAAGCAATAGACTCGGTCTCTTAGGACAAAGTGAGTTAAAACTCATTTTCCTAGGGCATAATGGTGCACGCCCTTAACCCCTTATTCTGGAGGCAAATGCGGGAATATCTCTGTGAGGTTCCAGGTCAGCCAGGGCTACCTATTGAGACCCTGTTTTAAGAACAAAACAAAGATATACCTCACTTTCCAGCTCTACCATACGGATTTAGGAAAAGCACACCAGTGTGTGGCTGTGCATTTGTTACCTGAGCAGAGGCTCAGCATCTCCCTTCTCAAATGCTCGGGGCCAAAGGTGGAGCAGATTTAGATTTTTTTTTTATTCACACACATATAATATAAAGAGACACCTAAGGGACGGGACCCAAGAGCAAACAAAGTTCACCTATGCTGAACTATTTTCTTACACACATGACTTGAAGGTAAGGCTCTTCCACTGTTCTCTTAGGAAACCAAATAGAGATGATGGGATCCACGGATCTTCTCGACTTAGTAGCCCTTGATTCTAATAACTGAAGCTAGAATTGGTCACCTGTGCAGTCATTCACTTGTTTTTATAACAGATGCCAGGTGGAAGACTTATACACAATAAAAGAGGGAAGTAGAAATACATTCCAAGTGTCAGACTCCGGGGCTGGAAAGATGGCTCTGTGGGTAACGTGTTTGCTGGGCAATCATGAGGACCTGAGTTCAGATGCTAGCAGCCATGGAAAGGATGAATGTAGGTGTGTAACCCCAGGACCAGAGGGCAAAGAAGGGAGGATCCTAGAGGCTTACTAGCCAGCTTGTATAGCCAACTAATGAGCCCCAGATGAGAGACCCTGTCTCAGAAAGTGGAAAAGAAAAAGGTATCTGACATTGACCTCTGGCCTCCATACATGTATACACAATACTACACCACACACACACACACACACACACACATGCACACACACACACACACCACTACCACCACACACACACACACACACACACACACACCACTAATCAAAATCTACAGAAAAATACCAGGAAGTCAACTAGCAGCCAGGCATGTGAACCAAAGCTCTATATAAATGAAGACAGTGAAGGTGCAGACTGAGTCCTGGAGTCGTGGTGAGGTGCCCTTGGGGACAGCACAGCTGAAATTCAACGCTTCAATGTGTCTCCTCAGTCTCTACCTCCCTCCGTGTATGTGTATGAGTGTGCACTAGCTATTGCAAGCAGAATTTCAACTTGTTGAATGACAGCAAAGTACCTATCGTTTTTCACTCGATGCAAGCCACAAGCTACGGAGGACACAGTAAGACCCAAGAGTCTGCCCAAGCCTCCCTCCTAAGAAGAAAACTATATTTACCTGTAATAATTGCTTGTTTGCATAAGGTTCACAGATCAACTTTTCCACATTTGCACCAACGACAAAAGTAAGAACCACAAGGATCATCAATATCCAGCAAAAGAGGAAGCTGAATCCAACCCCGCTGGAAAACACACACAAAAAAACAAAGACAGCATGAGTTGCTAGGTCTCACGAATTTCACATCTGGTCATACACAGTGGACCTACAACCTTCAGTGCTTTGTGGGTAAAAATGTATTGACCTTCCACAGTGAAAAGAGGCAGTGGTGACCACTGGAGTCTTGGCAAATGTCTACAAAAACCTGATAATGAAGTTGTTGGGTCTACGCAGAGTCCTGTATGGTCCAGAGCCTGTGCTTAGGATTAGCTGAGAATCAACTCTTCCTGCAAGGAGGGAGATGGTAGAGAGACACTAAGTAGGAGTTGTGCCTCTGGAGACCTCCCTTTGGGTTGCTTCCAGACTCTTACACATGCTAGACTCTACCTTTAAGCCACTTCCCCAATCCTGGGAATAGAAAGTTTTAAGTCTGTGTGTGAGAGCAAACAGATTTCTTGAGTGCAGCACTTTCTCAGATCCTGGAAGTCCCTAGGTCATTCACTTGAGGATATTCTTAGACCTATCGATGCTAACATTAATGAAGGCATGTGATACTAGGGGCCTGTTTGGGGGGCTAGAAGCACTTCGACACACAGATCACAAGAAGTCTGAGTATGACAGGGACTCCACATTTAAAGAGGCAGACAAACGCAGGGCAGCCGCCCTCCAGTCCTCCTCCTCATCCTGGCACATGGCTGATGGTTTGGTTCTCCATCTCCCAAAGGAGAGGTTTCTAGCCCTTACTCCCCCTTGAACTTGCTTACAGTATTTTCAATAAGAGACCGCGAAGGCCACCTAGTTTCCTCTGTGGCGCATTCCTGACCACTGCACCTGGGTCCCAGCCTAAGGTTCTGCTGCCATCACTGTGCACTGCTCTTGCCCACTAGGCTTTTCCTCAACATCCTACAAATATGTAAACTTTTATACGGATGTCTTCAAAGCAGGGATCTCCGTTCCCGCCTACCACCGCAGGTTCCACGCTGTCAGGGACCTAACGTCTACTCTTGTCCCTGGCTCAGGTTACTTGTCTAAACACCAAGGGTGCTGAGTTGGTAAGTCTTGCTCTACATCAAGTTCCTGGAGCTTCCAGTTACCAGTGCTGCTGACAGTAGGCAATGGTGTCTCTGCTTCTCACGAGTGAGCAAATCAGTGAACGAGTGATGTTAATGCAGGAATGGGTAGTAAGCAACTTGGGGATGATTTTCACAACAGCTGGGTTAAAAAAGAGCCCACCGTATGGAAGCAATGTGAACTCGGAGGCTCCAATGGGAACCAGAGACCCCAGGCTCCATAATACCGCACTCAACACCACGCTCGTCCTCGCTTTTCTTCCTTCGAGCGAGAGAATGGAACACTCACGCCATGAGGAAGATGCCTCCAGTGTTGGACACGCAGCCTCTTCTGGTTGGGGTGGCATGCCTGTCGTAGCCACACACACCACACAGCAAGCCCAGGAAGAAGAAGGTCACAATGAGGGTCAGCAGGAAGCAGACAATCAAGCCACCCAGCCACCTGGAGGAAAAAGGACAGTGTTATCGTACAGCTTTTGGTTGTGAGCCTAGCCTTCCGTGGCAGGGCCGCCTCTCCAGTCCTGTTGTTATACATCAAACAGACAGTGGCTATCCCGTCTGACCGTGGGCTAAGGCTGGAGTAGTCTCATTCATCGAGCATCAGAGAACAAGGCTGCATAACAAGAGCCCCCTCCACCCTCGCTCTTCCTCCTTCCTTCCTGTCTTTCACATCATGCCTTCCAATTACACCCCTCTCTCTTCCCACCCCAAAATAAAACAAAATTTAAGGAAAAAAGGGGGGAAAAAGAAGGGAAGAAGGAAGAAGGGGAAAGTCTTGTCATGGAAGCTGCAGGGTGTCACGGTGAGTCACGCAGTAAATCCCCTTGTCCATATATTTTTACATGCAGGTGTTCATCATAAAGAATCACTGGTCTGGTTTGAGGCCGCTGGTCTCTGTGACACCATTGATGCTGGGCCCTCAAGGGATGTTTCCTGGTCATCCCATGGCTGCCCTGTGTCTTGGAGATCCTGCAGCCTGGGTCACCTCCCCACCCCCACCCTGTGCTTCAGCAGGTCACAGATGAAGTGGCTGTTGGAGTGGGGTCAACACATAACCCTGGTTCTGGGCCTGGGCACTCGCAGGATTGGTCAGTCTGCCAGGTCTCCCCTATCTTCACCACCAGGGTGGGTTCTCCAGCTTTGCCCTGGCTCGTTCACCCCTTGCAATAATGAGCAAGGGATGGCCACCCCTGCTTCTTAACCCAACAAAGCAATACATCACAGTAGACTATTATTTTCAGGTGTGTTTCATTTGTTTACACTCTGGAACATTTGTTTAATGAGGTAAAGATGTGTTGCTTTTGTTTATGCTGTGTTTGTTTAACTCTGCGAAGCTGTGATTCCTTGCCTGTCTAAAACAGCTGATGGTCTAATAAAGAGCTGAACGGCCAATAGTGAGGCAGGAGAAAGGATAGGTGGGGCTTGTAGGCAGAGAGAATAAATAGAAGGAGCAAGCGAGGACAAGGAGAGAAAAGAAGGGGGTCACGGAGTAAGAGTGAAAGTAAGATATACAGAAGAAAGAAAAGGAAAACACTAAAAGCAAAAGGTAGACGTGATAATTTAAGGAAAGCTGGCTTAAAACAAGCTGAGCAAAGGCCAGGCATTTATAAGAAATAATAAGTCTCTGTGTGATTCATTCGGGGCTTGGGTAGTGGGCCCCCCAAAAGAGTAAGAGCAAAGAGTAAAAAATATCAACAACTACAATACATTTTCATCTTGGCTTCGTAGCGCCCTTTCTCAAGGGTGGTTGTAAACACCTACAGTATCACATGGGGTTCATCATAGGCCTAAGCTTCCTCAGGGGCCTGATCAAAACACACCCAAGATGTTCAGATCCTGTCAAGTTTCCTAGTGTTGGAAGCTGTGGCTAGGGTCTGGGTAGATGGCAGGGGAAAAATAGCAAGCTCCTCTCCTTTCTCAAAACTCTTTTGGGGTTAAAAAAATATTCTGGGGCATCATGTTCCTTACTGAACCAGAAATACTCTGTGTGGCAGATACACGAGACATTTAGAATTTTATGAGCGTTCCAAATCAAATGTTACAGAATGCAGAGCTTAATTCTGTAATGGTCCTGGGAGACATTTTAGGATAATGGAGCCTCAATTACGTCTTCCTGGCATTCCCGGAATGCACACCCACTTCCCTGCAGCTGAGGAGCACTCAAGGCTAAGACTGCTCCCCAACGTTGTAGACAGAAGTATCTAAAACAACAGAAGTATCTGCTCCTCTGGGGCCGCCTGACAGAAGCAGCCACTGCAGCTTCTCATTCAATTAAAAGCAATTTTTGTAATTACACTAATAGCTAACAGCAGCCATTCAGTGAGATGTTCGCTCCAGATACCAATTAAATAAACCATGGAGGCCAAATTAAATAAACCTTGGAGCCTGGTTCAGAGAACTTTCAGAATTAATCAACCCAATGATTAGTTGAGATTTTTTTTTCTTCAAAATACAAAATCTTTAAGGTCTCCAGACAGGGGTGGAAGGAAGGAAAGGAAGGAAGGAAGGAAGGAAGGAAGGAAGGAAGGAAGGAAGGAAGGAAGGAAGAGATAAATGGACTAGACTGTCTCATTTGGGAAATTCAGTCTCGGGACGTTCTGTCTTATGTCTGTGCCAGTGTCTGCTGGGGTGTCCTAGACCCACAATGGAAACATGACATGAGCCCCTGGAAGCCTATCTGTTGTACAGCCAGATGGTGTGGCCTTAAAGGAGCCATTTCCCTTTTCTGGACCCCGAAGTCCTTGTCTACAACACAATCATGCACAGACATAACTCAGCAGATGTCAGGAGCGAGTAGGAAGTATCGTGCCTAAAGAAAGTGCTTAGTGAGCATGCTGAACATCTCCCCAGGTTACAGCTATGTCATTTGTCTCGTGCTGCTGTGCAAATAGTAATCCAGGTGGGAGAGGGCAGCTAACCTCCCCAGCGGGCAGTCCTAAGGCCGTGCCCTTCAGAGATGAAAATACACCTTTGACTTCATGGATGCCTAACTCTATCCCTCTCCACGCTGTCTGAATGTCATCACCCTCCAGGGCCAAACAGCATGGCCTGCAGTATTTAAGCTCTGGGTACAGCAACTGCCTGCCAACGTACCCCTCCACACACACCCCCTAGTTCAGACACCAACCTAATGACCTCATAGCACAGCTAAAGAAACCAAAACACCAGGTTCCTTCCGAAAATGCCAACCCCTGTGAATTTGTTTCACAACCCAATGAGAACATTTTCCAAATGCCCTACTTGATTAGTTCTGAGCTTCCGCACCCCACACACTCTAGGGTTACTAACTACAACAGAGATTGGAGAAATATGAACATCAAAATCCTAAACTGTTGAACATTTGACTCGAGGATCTCCAGTCCCCAGAGTTTTGCTTTTAAATAAGGGGTGTCTTCTGAATATGCACATCACCATTACTCAGAAGCCATTCTAACTATCTCTGTACTGCTCCAATTTCGCTCTGTGTGCTGCCTTAGTGGGCACTTAGACCAGGTGTGTGCAGATGTGTGTGCTGGGGTACGTGACCCATGTATGAACATGCTTTTAGGGCAGAGGTTGATGTCAATGGTCTTTCTCCATCACTGCCCACCTTAATTTTTGGGCTAGGGTGTCTCACTGAAGCCAGAGCTCCTCGATTGGCTAGGCTGGCTGGCCAGCAAGTCTAGGGCTCCACCAATGCCCTCCCCACCCCAGTACTAGGGTTACAGATGCACACTGCCCCTCTTGGCTGACGTTGTTTTCGTTACCATGGGTGCTGGGGATTCGAACTCAGGTCCTCACCCTTGTACTGCCGGAGATTGACCGCAATGGCATCTCACCAAGCCCTTTGGATTTCTTCATAAATGAACGTAGCTGGGCGGTGCTCACACAGGCACAGCCTCCTTACCCCACTTTGTATTATAAGGCTATCCTGGGAATGACGTCACGTCCTCACGCCCTCACAAAGCAAGCTTCCTGCCCCTCCTCCGCCAGCTCCCAAGAGCCACTCACCAGTATGAGTCGTATTCTTCCAGTTTGGGCAGCTCCTGGCGGAAGTAACTGTTGCTGTCGTTAAGGTAACGGGAGACCTGGGACAGCACCTCCTCAATAGGAAGACTTTGGCTCACGTTCTGAACGGTGGAGCTGACGGAATCCAAGGCCCTTTTGACGTCTGGAAACAAAGGGAGCACAGTTACTTGCAAACATACATAGACACCTTGTCTGGGGACAAAGAGAAGTCGCTGAAGTTTCTCCATGTTCTGTGTAGGTGTCTAACAAGGCGAGGCTCTATACCAAGCCCCAGTAGAGCCAAGACCACCTACAAGCAACAGCCAAATGGGGCAGTGAAGGAAAGCACAGACGTAGTGAGATGGGTACTAAAGTCGGCAGGCTCCCTCGACTAATACTTTGCAAAAATAAATAAATAAATAAATAAATAAATAAATAAATAAATAAATAAATAAATAAATAAATGTTGGGGATCAGGTGACTGATATTCAGGCGTGCCTACCGTGTGCCAAGCCCTTCTGTCAATATTAATCTACTTCCTCACTACTGCAATATCTGCCTGAATTCCCACTTCACTGTGACCCAGTCTCATGTGAGTTAAGTTCTCTTTAGGAAGTACTGGGTTTTGTTGTTGCTTGTTTTAAGGAAGTCCTATTATTTGATTTGGGGAATAGTAAGACTAGAAACCCCACTACTTAAGAAGTGGTCTTAAGAGACAGGCGTGGCAGGGGAGTGCACACAGTGATTCCAGCATTGGGAAGGCAGAAGCCAGGGGATTGCAGTCAATTTGAGGGCAGCCTAGGCCACATAGGGAGACCCTTTGTCAGAGAAATAGGGGTGTTTGGGGGGAGAGTAGGGAGACGGAAGGGGAGGAAAAAGGGGGAAAGGGAGTGGAGGGAGAAAATAGACTAAAAATAAAAAGAAATGGCATTCACGGGCATAACTTTCCTGCACTGCTTCTTGAAAAAGTGACCTCGGTTGATGTATTAATCAGTTCCTTGACTCATCCATCCCAGAGGCCAATCTGTGTTTCCTACACGCCAAGGACAGCCCGCCTCCCAGGGCCAGCTTCAACTCAGATCCGTGTGTGGCTTTCCAGACACCAGTGTTCTAGAATGCGTTACTCTATCCCAACAGACCCTGGATCACAGCTTCCTGTTCACACAGTCACCTGACCAGCACCCCACAGGTCCAGAGTTTAGGTTCTGATCCAGATGTGTTAAGAGGAAACACAATTGTTAAGTCTATTGAATTCAATGGGCAGAGAAACTGCTAAGCAATGGCAAACAGGACTCTCTAAAAATGGATCTCAGGCTCCGCTGGGCTCTAGACAAAGGCAGAGGTTGGGGGCTTGGTTCAAAATATGATTGTATATTAAAAAAAAAAAGGTAGGAATTTTTCCAAAGTGTTTTCCATACAGGTTTGAGATGTAGAAACAGAGAGCAGCCAAGCATGCCATGTTTGGAGAACTCTGCCTCCCCACCACCCCAAATGGCTCTTGTGTAAAACCTTCTGAACTGTGAGGTTCCATCGGCCACTTTGATGGACATGATCCAAAGGCCCGGTCTGCTTTGAGCAGCTCCCTGAGGGCCTATCTTGCCCTTCCTCTCACATCATGAGGCACAGACACAGCCTTGTCAGCTTTGGTGACTGACAGGTGGCCGAAGCACCTTCCAATCAAATCCTTCCAATCAAAAGCTTCAATGTGCAGGACGCCTTTTTGAGGAAGGCTCCTCCTGACTCCTCCCCATGGTGGCTCCCTGCACACACTCCGTTGCCACAGTGTGACCTGTGTGTATGACTGGCCAAAGGGCAGTCAGTGGCCAGGTCTGGAGCTTCTCACATCCACAACACTTGGAAGAGCCTGGGACACAAAGTAGGCACGAAAAAAAAATAAATTCAGATGAGGACTGGAGGCCTGAAGTGTGGGAGCTAAGGACAGAAACATAAACTAACATTCAGACTGATAGACAGGCACTTGTTTGGCCCTGGGATAATGCTGACTTGTGTTTAAGCAATGACACCAGAAATAGTGGGGTTTGTTCATGCATGCAGCACACTTACAACAGAGGGCAGCTCGAATGGGCAGAAGAGGTCCAGAGAGGGTGAAACAAGAAATCAAACATGGAGATTAGTAAGCAGGAGGCCATCAGACATCCGGCATGCAGTAAGCAACCTTCAGATGTTACCCAAGGAAAGCATGACCTTGTCTTTAGTATCTTCTAATAAAGTTTCATTTAGTTTCTGTGTATAGGTGTTCTGCCTGCATCACGTCTGCACTGCACACATGCAATGCCCAAAGAAGCCAACACAGTGAATCTGATGCCCTGGGATTGGAACTGTAGATGGCTGTGAGCTGCCATGTGGTTGCTGAGGACCGAATCCTGGAAGAGCAGTCAGTGCTCTTAACTCCTAAGCCATCTCTCCAGCTTCTAAGACATAATGCAGGGTTTTATTTTTGCCTGTCTAATGGTTTATTGCTATTGTATGTACACTGGTGTCATGTATGTCTGCGTGCAGGTGTCAAATCTCCTGGAACTAGGGTTACAGACAGTTGTGAGCTGCCCTGTGGATACTGGGAACCAAACCTGCGTCCTCTGGAAGAACCGCCAGTGCTTTTAACCACTGAGTCAGCTCTCCAGCTCTGTAAGGCAACATTTTTTAAAACCACTTGATAAATAGGTAAAAGCAGCCCTGGGAAGAAGCTATTTTAAATTTAATTAACTTTACATCCCGACTACAGCCTCCCTTCCCTCCCCCCACTGCCCCTCTGCTCACCTACATCCACCCCATCTCTGTATTCATTCAGAAAGGGGCGGGCCTCTCCTGGGCATCAGCAAAGCATGGCACATCAAGCTACCATAAGACCAAGCACCTCCCCCTGTATTCAGGCTGGGCAAGGCAATCCAGCATGAGGAATAGGTTCTCCAGAGCCAGCCAAAGCACCAGGGACAGCCCCTGCTCCCATTGCCAGGAGTCCCACAAGTAGACCAAGTTAAACAACTGTCACATACATGCAGAGGGCCTAGGTCGGTCCCATGCAGGCTCCCTGGTTGTTGGTTCAGACTCTGAGTTCCCAGGAGCCAGACTTGCTATTTCTGACTCCTACAATCCCTTTCTCCTCTCCTCGGCAGGATTCCCCAATCTCGATCCAATGTTTTGCCTAGGGTCTCTGAATCTGCCTCCAGCAGTCAGTGGATGAAGGCTCTCTGATGACAACTGGGGTAGTTGCCAGTCTGATGGCAGGGGATGGCCAGTGCAGGCCATGCATCCACTGCTGCCACTGGCCTTAGCTGGCGTCGCCCTCGTAGACTCACGGCAGCTTTTTTTGAAAAATAATTTGAACATTTTTTTAATTTATTTTTATTTTTATTTTATGCACATTGGTGTTTCACCATGGGTGTCCTGTCCCCTGGAACAGACAGTTGCGAGCTGCCATATGGGTGCTGGGAATTGAACCAAGGTCCCCTGCAAGAGCAGTCAGTGCTCTTAACTGCTCAGCCATCTCTCCAACTCTGAGCAGATCTTTAAAGAGAGGCTGTGTTTTCACTCAGCTTCAGGCTAATAAGCCTAAGAGCACCCCTTCTTGGAATATAGAGCTGTTTACATTACATTGATTTGCACACTGACTACCAAGCATCCTCACCCTAACGCAGCACAGTCATTTCAAACCTTAGGATGCCCTCAGCATAGACTGTGTCTCTAAAACTCTAAGCAGCTGTAGAGCCCAAAGGACTGTCTCCTCAAGGCCACGGACAGAAAGAAAATACTTCTCCAAAAGACAAACTCTTCTGTAGGTAGAGTCTTCTTAAAAATAAATAAGAGTCATTTTAAATTCACTTAGGAAATATAATAATCTGGGGGTGGGGCCTCCCTCTCTGGGAAGACGATTAGAACATGACCTTCCAAACTGCAGCTGTTGTAAGGCCTAGAAGAGCCCAGCACGGGGAGTCACCACCCAGTGACACCCTGGCCATACACCAATAAATATTAAATGCGAGGCTTGGTGGTTTTCATTCTCTAGTCTACATTACCACTGACTAAAGATAACATAATCAAAACATCTGATATTCATTCCGTAGACTATTTTCTTTAACCAGAAAAGAACAATAAAATCTTTTAAAAACTATTTTAACTAGAAAAGAACAATAGAATCTCTAACAAACTCCTCCTCTGTATCCACCAGTCGTTGTGCGGACAAGGAGAGAAACAGAAGGGCCTCCAGCTAGGGCTCTCACCTGCGACGACATCCACGGTTTGCTCTTTTACCTTACCAGGTATTTCATCAATCGACGCGTACCCCTAAAAAACAGTTCAAAATGGACTGAAGGTCAGTTGGCTTATACTCTATTTTATATCAAGGAGAGCAGTAAAATTAAAATGTAATATTTATCTTAAGATTGAAATTACCTGAACATAACCATCAAGGGTCTAAAAGCAAATCCCCTTTAGAAAAAAAGTCCTGGTGTGTTTGTGCGTGTGTGTTGAAGAGTGGAATCTGATCTTAAAGGCTTTTCGCCCTAGAAGAAACTCTTTTGGACCGTGGCTGAGAGACAAGTAATTTGAAATGTGCAGAGAACCCAAAGAAAGATAAAGCCATGGTTTCTACCAAGGAAATAAGAACCACGCATCATTGGGACAATGAGGATATTGAGAAAAGACACTCAAGCGGGAAATGTATACAATAAAATCAGTTTAGTGAAATTTTTTAAGTAAAAGAAAGAGTGGTGTATGAAGGCTGAAAATACTAAATCACCAGATGAAGGAGAGGGAGAAAGAAGTGCCAGACCAAGGGGATAGTGTGTGAAGAAGCTTTGAATTAGGAAGGAAATAAAACCAAACCAACACAGCAGCTCCTGGGTGGAGCGGGACAGCACTCTCTATCAGGAATACGGTCAGGGCTACCCTGCACACGCAACTAAACCCCAGAAAGCAGAGGTCAGGACTATCACGGGATTTCGCTGTTTCCTATGTCCTTATGTTTTAAACTACCCTGGGTATGACATAAGGCACCTGCCTTGTCCCCAGGAGCGCACCTTGTCGACGAGGCTCTCCAGATCAGTCTTGCAGATGTCATTGACTTTGGTGAGTTCTTCATCCACAGACGGGAGCTGAATGTTTATGAAACAGAGTCAGAAAAGGTAATTATCCCCAAGTTAACACTCACAAAAAGGGACGTCATCTTATATCCAGATCCCAGGGTGCCAACGTGGAAGGACCTGACTTCACTTTCTTTTGAAAACAGAACACGGTCTGAGGAAATCACATTCTGTACAGAGTGGCATCTGTGAGCCCTGATTTAGTTTTTAGTATTATTATTATTTTTAAATAGGTTACTCTGCGTAAAAGTACCAGCTGTCCTGGAACTCGCACTGTAGACCAGGCTGGCCTCAAACTCGCAGAGATCCGCCTGCCTCTGCCTCCCGAGGGCTGGGATTAAAAGTGTGTGCCACCACTGCCAGGCCCATGAGCACTGATTTTTAGAGTTTGTGGGTCTGCTGTAGTCAGCTAATGAGGTACAGATAAAGTATGTGTTGATTGCACAATTGCTAGCACAGAACACTGTTGAACGAAGTTATAAATAAACCTGTAAAAATAACTTTTAAAAGTAAAACAGGGGCTTAGGCTACAGTCTAAATGAGGTGAAATACACGTGCCAGGCTCTGGGTTGGAGCCTCAACACCAAACTAACCACCTAAGTAAATAAATAATATTAAAATTAAGTAAAGTATCTGGTGGTTACATTGGTTAGAAGTCTGGAACCAGTTTTCCAAGTCCAGAATTATACATAAATTCCAAGTATGATAGATCTTGGCACCTGGGACCCGCGCCCTGGGGCTCTCAACAGGACACATCAAGGACACAGCACCAGTTCTGAAGCAGGCACTTGGTAAATGTGAGACTCAAGTCATTTGAGAAGGAAACCTCAGCTCAGGGACTGTCCAGATTAGATTGACCCACAGCAAGTCTCTGGGGTGTTGTCTTGATGAGTAAATGATGTGGGACCACCCAGCCCACTGTGGGAGGCACCATTCCCTATGCAGGTGGTCCTGGGCTGTATAAAAAAAGCTAGGTAAGTACAAGCCATTGAGAAAGCCAGCAATTAACATTTATCCATGGTTTCTGCTTCATATTCCTGCTTTAATTCCCATCCCTGAAGGGTAGACAGTGACCTGGAAGTGTCAAAGAAACATGCTTCTCCCCTACGTTGCTCTTGGTCAAAGTGTTGTATCATAACAGCACAGAAAAAAGTCAGAACACATGGAAATGTCCAAGGGTATGGGAGGAGTGGCATGTATTTACAGCTTTCCCAAAAATGCAAAAAAAAAAATTAAAAAGCAACAATGCCAGTGTGGTGGTATATGCCTGTATTCCTGCATGCCTGTAGACATGTATTCCCAGCCCTAAGGAGGGGAAGGTGGGAGGGTGAAGTCTGAGGTCTGCCTGAATTTCTTGTGTGAGAATATTGTGATACCCTGTCTCACAAAGGCAAACAGCAACAACAAAGCAGACAATATCACCGTCTCAAAACATATATTTCAAGTTGCTAACACAGAACTAACTTCTAAAAGTCCATTTGATGACTCCCAAAGTAATTCAGTAGATATACACACAATGATAGTACATGTGAAGTCTTGAAAAAAAAAAGACTCATAAAAAATGAAAGTGGAAAAAGTGTTAAAATATTGTTTTATATAGAATGTGAATGGTAATACAACTAAATCAATGTATTAAGTATAATTAATATAAATATAAATTTTTCATCTCAAATGAGGGGGAAAATTTGGGGAAATAATGGAATTGTCTATACCAGCATATATGACTAATATGCCTAGCTTTTTGGCATTTTTAATAGTTTATTTTACTTATGTGTATCATATATCTATATGGAGGTATGTACACATATGAGTGCAGTGCCTGTGGAGGCCAGAAGAGGGCGTTGTAGCCTCTGGATCTGGAGTCACAGGCAGCTGTGAGCTATCTGATGAGTGTCTGGAACTGAGCTCAAGTCCTCTGCAAGAGCAGCAAGGCTCTTACCTGCTGAGTCATCTCCCCACATCTCCATGCACCTAGTTTTTAAAAAATATTTAAAGAAGAGCATGTAGTCTGTTTCTCTTTTGCAATCTGAATTTACCTTGCTAAATCATCAAATGGCACAGACTTTCTCAAACATTCCCCACATTGTTTTAAACTGCTGCTGCATCCATTCCGGCACAGTGATTAGATGCCCCCAAAAGACTCCCCAGCATTGGAGGTTACTGTTTTCCATTCCAAGCCCCTGTGCACCGGATATGTGGCCCTTGTCTTAGCCCTACTGGACCTCCGCTAGTTCTCCTGGCTGCGGCAAGCTCATGCCCACTCACCTGGTTGGGATCGAGGTTGCTCCCCAGATTGCTTAGCTCTGATCTGATGTTGTCACAGATATCTTTGGCCGGCTCTGAAGCACAGTTGTTGTTGAGCGAAGTCTCCATGCTTTTTTTCACATCGGTCAGGTTGGCGCTGAGTTGTGCGCTCCTGTCATGTATGCGCGTAAGGCTGTCATTCATGCTCTTCAGGGTGTCCCTGGTCTGCCTGATGGCTGTAGGAACACAGCCACAATCAGAGTGGGCCACATAAGTGCCTCAAAAAAGTGGGAGGTGAGGTCAGACAGCTGCGAAGGTCAGTGGGGCAGGACACACGAAAGACATAAGACTCCTTGCCAGCCCCTTTGCCCAGCTCAGCTCTCTTCCATGGTTCTTCTTAATTAAGCAGTTGAGCATAAACCCAGGACAGCTCGAGTGCCACTACCTGGTCAGCAAAGCAGATTGATCCACATAAGAATCAGTTATGCCCTTATATGGGCTATGACTATTAAGAGAGCCAGCATTTACCAGTCAGAAATAAGAACAAAGTACTCCTTGGCCCCCACAAACTCATGACCATATCATAATGCAAAATGCTTCCCCCAAACAGCACCGTTCACTAGCTAGCGACCAGGTTTTCAGATGCCCGAAATGAGAGGGAACGTTTGTCATCCAAACCCATGTGATTTTTTTCACATACTCCTCCACCCCCATCCCTGCTCCTCGATGCTATTGGAGAAAGCCCTGCCCGTATCCAGTCTGTTGGCCACATCCAGTCTACTTCCTTTTCTCTCTGTTCTGGACTCTTCCAGCTGCCTCTGGATATCTTCTCTCTCCTACCCACAAGAAAAACCTCCCCCCTAACAATGGAGTGGCCATCTTGGCAGCTTCTTTACTGTGCTCTATGGGATACAGAGACTCCGTAAAAATTGTTTATCACCAGAAAAGCAAAACGAGCAAAGGAGCAAACAGAGCAGAACACAGAGGATAATGAGAGAGCACACACGCTGGTTTCTGCGCCTGAGTTTTGTCTCGCTGGTCTATCCTTTGATTTCAGCTACGTTAGTTCATAGAACAATAAAAAGAGGGAAAGCCGAGTGAGAAAACAGCTGCAGGCCCAGGAAACACATGCTTAGTCATCGTCTAGAGACCTTCTGGGCTATGGGTACTGTTCTTAGGGCCCAGGAAGAATCCAGTAGCTATAAATATAAACTTTCTAAAAATTCCAAAGCATATTATGCCTCTAATATATGTGCAGGGCTGTGACTCAGAGTCATTCGACGATCCCAGGCTGTACGCATCTGAAGAAAGCGGAAAAGACCTTTCTGATTCTTAATCTCATCTCAACTCCTACTTAATTCTTAATTTTAGTCAACTACATCTCACCAGCCCAAAGCTCTTCTTGTGGACTGCCCTGCAGCCCACATCTAACGTGCTCAGACAATTGTTACGTTTCTTCTCTCTCCGAAGTCTTTGTGTTACAGACCCCCAGACCCTGGCACAACTGCCACCATGATGGAAGTACCATTCAGACCTTGGAACCCAGCAGGTAGGCTACCAAAGTAAAAAAAAGTCCAATCCATCAAAGTCCAGAAATGTCCCCAAACTAACCTTGCCTTTTGGCTTCTGTAGTTCTGCTTCTGACTAACTGTTCTTGCTAAACTGAGGTGTCAATCCAGGATGTGACTTTTGTACTTAGTATGCTCACTCTGAGGCAGGCTTGGGACTGCACTCGGGTGCTGGACACTCAGGGTAGTCAGTGGACAGCTAATAAAGACTTGTGTTGCCTTGAACCCATGTCCAAGTGGTCTTCCCTACAGGACCTCACAACACATGAAAATAATAAACCGCTGGAACTGTTTACTGAGCACAGTCTAAGGCACATCTCTGGCCACAGTGGAAGCTTAACCCACTGACTTGTTCAAGCTGGCTTTAAAGAGAGCTTTAATACTATCTGAATCACAAAGAAAAATAAGACCCACTTGGTCTTTGATCTAGAAAGCACTACATAACTCAAGCACTAAATATTGGGGCTGGCAAGATGGCTCTGTGGGGGAGGGCCTGGACCACCTAGCCTGACAACCTGAATTTGATCCCTGGAACTTATGTAGTAAAAGAAGGAGGACCAACTCCCGCAGATTGTTCTCTGACTTCCACACGGGTTTGACACAGTTGCAGTGTGCTCACACAACACAACAAACAAATGTAAATCCAAAAAAATATTTAAAACAGTACTTAACAACAGTAAAAACTGTTCAGACTGTTGGGCATGTGGACTGTGTGCATTGTGCAGTGACCGACTACACTGACTTGTGGTTTTTTCCTTCTGTGCAGTCTTCAGCACCTTCAGATTGTGGGGTTGGAGAGAATCTTGGATGACGGTGTAAATGTACTGACACTGGGGACTGGAGTGAGGGATGCCTAGAATCCACTTACAGCCACCCCCCCCCCCCCAGACAAAGATTGCCAGGTCTTCTTCCTGAAGGGCTTGTTATTTGACCTTCCTGTGAATGGTACAGCAACACCCTACTTTCAAACTCTCCCCGGTGTTCTCAGCGCCATCTACCAAAGCTGGCTGGGTATATGGGCTTTTGTTAGATAAGGTCTGAAAGCCAAGTCCATCCCTTCCCAGCCCGCTGATGGCTATAGACTGGATTAGTATGTGGAATTCTTAGCCCACGAAATGATCATATAAGGACCCAGAGAGTAATTAAGATTAAAGGGGATGGGGACTAGAGAAATGGCTCAAGGGTTAAGAGCATTTGCTGTTGTTGCAGAAGTCCTAGGTTTGGTTCCCAGCACCTACATGGAGGCTTACACAACTCAGGATGCAGGGGATCTTATGTTCTCTTCTGGACTCCCCACATATCGAGCACACATATGGTGCACAAACATGAAATCAGGCAAAAACACTCATACAGGTAAAAGAATTTTAATTAAAAAGATCTTCAGGGTAGGGTACAGGTTGGAAACAGCTGATATCTTTTCTATTAGAGAAAGAGCAGCTGGCATAGTAGCTCTGGGTAAAGGTGCTTGCCACACAAGCCTGACAAACTCAGGTCCATCCCTCGGACTCTCTTAAAGGTAAAAGGAGAGAACAACCCCACAAGTTGTCTTCTGATGGCCAAGAATGTGCCAAGTGTCTAGCATGCACCTGCACTCATGGACATACATTCACATACATAATAAACAAATAAATGAATGAATAAATAAATTTTTAAAGAAAAGGAAGGGAAGCTAGAGATGGGCATTTGCCACAAGAAATAGTATTGGAATGAGACCAGGAGAGGTAAGCAAAAAAGAGTGGGAGAGGGGCAAGTGGGGGGGAGGGAGGGAGGGAGGGAGGGAGGGAGGGAGGAAGGGAGGGAGGGAGGAAAGAAAGAAAGAAAGAAAGAAAGAAAGAAAGAAAGAAAGAAAGAAAGAAAGAAAGAAAGAAGGGAGGTGGAGGTTGACGTGTTTTTTAGGGTTGCATAACTTGGAAATGGTTGGTGATGGGCAGAACTGATACCTGATGATTTCAAAGGCCTTTAATTCATTAATTCACCCCTTTAATTCATTCATTCACTCTGATTTTTTGTTTGGGGTCTTACATAACTCCCTAAGTAGCTCAGGCTGGCCTTGAAGTCACGGTTCTCTTGCCTTTCTATTGCCAGGATTACAGATGCGCTACCACAACCAACACATCAACAGATATTTTCTTTGAAACTCCAGATAATAGGTGAGATCATATAAGCTCTGTGAACCTGGTCTCCTCAGCAAACACAAAACTTTGCCACCTCAGCACAAAACCAGCCATGGGCCATACAGAAACACGTGAACATAACTTTGGGTCACTATTACTTCAAATGATGATGTTTTCCAGTATCGTAGGCTTTTAAAAGCACAAACTTGTAAAAACAACACCCATACTGGGACAGTCTGTGTCTTTGCCAGGCCTGTTTGCATGGCCAGACTAGAATTCTTGTCTCTAACCACCCGTGAAGGAATCCAAGCCAATGTGAGTGTCCCTGGGAAGCCAGGAATCTAGGATGGGCTATCCTCGGTCACCTGTGCCACCATGCTTACCTGTCACCATGGCCTTAATCTCATCGAGAACGGGGATTACTTTGGGTTTTACTTGGTCCTTTATTCTGCCTCCCAGCAAGGAATCAACACCTGTATTCAAAGGAAAGGGATTGATGAGGGTAAGCCGGCTTCTCCTTCAGCTCTCATGCCTTCTGCTCACGCCCCACAAGTTGACGCCTGGAAAATGTCTTCCCTCTTCCCGTCCTCACGTCCCATCCTCCACTTCAGACCATTCACTGTGGGCCCTAATGCGAGGAGATGCCGTTGCCTGCTTCACACTCCTCAAACTCGTAGTTCCCCCTGGAAAATTAGTCTCATGGACCCTTATACTTTGTGTGAAGGAACACGGCATCTGTGATCTTGAGTTGTGTTACATAGTGACTGTCTCTAACTCATCTACACTGGGGTTTCTCCACTGCAGTACCACTGACCTTTGGGACCAGATACAGCTTTTGGGGGGTGGACTGTCCTGTGCCTTGTAGGATGACGAGCAGCATCCTTGGCCTTGGACACTGCCCCTCCCCAATCCTGCCAACCGTATATTCCTCCAAAATGTCACCTTTTGTTGAGAACAACTTAACTATGCTGCGTATGAGCTCTAGTGAGACATGGTCCATCAAAGAACAGGGCCAGGTTGTTTCTACAGCCCATTGAACAGGGCACTTAGTAGGGCCACACATGCTCTTCTGCATGAAGAATGACCACAGGAGAATAAAGGCTTTACCATAAGAGAGGTAAAATTTTAAAACAGAAGCCCAAATCCCTCTGCTTGTGAAACTGAACTTGAATGTTGGGTACCTTTTTAAAAAAAAAAAAAGATTTATCTATTAATCTATGTGGATGAATGTTTTGCCTGCATGCGTGTGTATGCACCATGTGAATGCCTGGTGTCTGCACAGGTAAGCAGAAGGCCTTGGATGTCTCAGAACTGGAGTTATGGATGGTTGTGAGCCTTCACGTGGGTGCTAGGAATGGAACCCAGGTCCTCTGCAAGGGCACCGAGTTCTAGTAACCACTATGCCATCTCTCCAGCCCCTAAAACTGGGTTTTAATCATCCAGTGACAAGTGACAAACACCCAGTAGCTCTTGAGCTTCTTCTGCCTTCCTCCCACCTTCAACAGGTTCCCATTTTGCTCTGTGCTATAGGCGATAGTTAAGGCATTTTCTGAACCTTAACAAACAAAAATGCAAACTAACTTTCAACGCTACTTACCATCCAGGTCTGAGAATGCCTTGTTCTTGGTGTTGGTGTACTGAGCCAGTATATAGTCAATTTGCTGGAAAAGAAAATTTCATTGACACCTGCCCTTTGATGTGCAAAGTCATAATACAAAGACAGTAGGGCTTTAAGATATATATATAATTAACCCCCTCGGAGCACTTTGAAATAGCTAGAAGGTGACAGACACTTGTCTTTTCCAGTACTCCGGTCCCCACACGCCCCAGCTTTACTGGCCAACCACCGACTTTTATCCATCGTGTTTGTTACAATAAACTGACTGGCTGTGGTCACCACTTATATGTCATAGTTCTGTAGACTGGCTAGGTGGACCATGATGGGGACTGTGAGGGTGCGCACAAGTGGGTCCCCCTCTCTCCTGCCTCTTCTTAGTGAGCAGCCTGGGTATTTTCACCAGGTCCCTCAGGATCACCAGCAGCGGGAGCCTAATAGACACTTGATGCACAGCTCCTAGGAGCTGAAGTTCCCGACCAGCCCAAGATCGTGTCCACTGTGTCCTCCTGGCCATAAGCAGGTCACAGGGACAGCCTAGACTCAAGGGGACAGATGTTCCCCAGAACACAATGAGTAAGAACTGACAGCCACCTGAAGTTTGACACACGAGTCCGCGGTATTGATCACTCTCCACTGGTTTTCTAAAGGAGTATTCATCTTCTTATTTATGGTGGCTCAGTGGGCCTGCTTCCGACCTCTCAGCAAGGCCGGGTTAACATTCTTCTAGAGTTGCCAACCTCCCCAGTAAGCGTGCAGCAGTGTTAAATTTTCTTTTCTTTAGCTGCTAGAGGTAAAACACCTTGCTCTCTTTGGGGACAGTTATATTCCATTTTAGTTGCCTATTCAGTTAGCCGTATAATTTGTTAGAGCTCTTCATATACGTTCAATCAGGTAAGTGTCCCCAAAGTCAGGAATTTACCATCTTTAGAAGATGATGAAAACCACCCCAATTGTCACGAGTCACCATTATTACTTTTGGCATTGGGAGAGTGGAAAGAGGGCTACCTGTGGAATCTTCAGGATGGTACATGAAAGACATTATGAGTTTTTGTTTACAAGGTGTAGAAAAGGTCATTTCACCTGTGCTACACTGTAGAGTCAGACAGAGTTGACTTCTCTACTCTCTGCCCTCCCAAAGGCCTCCCCATGTGGTTCTGTTTTGCTTCCAGCTGTGTGACACACTTAATCGAGCAGGATTTTGAGGAAAGAATCAACCTGATGGCCACATCTGGTTCTGGGGGACCCAAGAGCACCACATGCTTAAGTCAGTTTCTGCTCAGATACTTTTCAAATCACACTCCCAGGAAAAGGACAGAAAGAAGTCCTTCTCGCCATGGCCCTTCAGTCATTCTGTTTGACTTTGTCCAAAATGACGTGTGTGTGTGTGTGTGTGTGTGTGTGTGTGTGTGTATCTGAGTGAGAGAGAGAGAGTTTTCCCAAAGGAGACTGACTCATCTACACAGACATCACACAGGTGTGCATGAAGCTAAAGAATTCATAATTAATAGCAATTATGCGTTGATAACAGGTTAACTACACCACCAAAAAGAAAGGATAACACAAAACACCAAACAAAAACAAAAACCCACAGTGAGACTCTTAAAATTATGAGATACTTTTATATGTGCTGTGATTTTGTTATGCCCAAATAAAATAATTGAAGCAAAATAAGCCAAGTAAATCCTGACGCTATGGAAACTATGCTTTTGAGAGCTGCTTTCTGGCTGTGTTTCTTCATCCTCAGCATGAAAGGGCAACACCCTTCTATATGGATTCACTGGCTTCTTAAAATGATTGGCTGAGCTTCCATACGTGCACAGAGATTCAGAGTGGCCGACACCAAGCACCATGGAACATGCAGGTTGCAGGTTTTTACCTTTGGGGTTTCATTCAGGAATGTTTGCAAGTCTCTGAAATTGCTCTCTGTCAGATTCTCGGTCCTTTTGATCGTGGTCCTTACCTGGTGGTTGGCCACAAAACCATACATGATGCCAAGGCTGCAGGGAAAGGGGAGAATAAAGAGCGTTGGCCAAGACCCACTGTCACTGGCACCGCCCACCTCTGTCCCGTGCCCCTGCAGCCTACCCACTACGACTACCATCAGCACACCACCAACATGGGGACACAGAACAGACAGAGAACTAAGATGTCTCTGAGGACAGACTCCGTTCAGGATGAAGTACTGCACTATGACTCTCATAAATGAACAGCAAATTCTGGAGGAAAGTCTCAAGGTCGTGGGCAGTACCAGGGGCACGTGTGTACCCTGTGTGTATGCTGTCTTGTGCCCACACGAACACCCTCATGCACCAGAGAAGAGGGAACTAGCGATCAGGTAAGAGGGACCCGGGCTTTCTGGTGGTTTTTCAATTGACTGCTAGTTTCTATATTTCAGTCTTTCAGATTGGAAAGAAATAAAGTATTTCAGCACTAAAGCATGACGGGAAGGTCTGGCTTCATTTCCTGTTGCACTGACGGCATATGCCCTCGATGATTTCCTTCCACACGATACTAGGCTGTGCCCAGGCGACAATTTTGAAACAAACCATGACATATACAGGCATTACACCCACTCACTGGTCATTTATATAAAGTATGAACTCAAACCAAATGATGGCGCTAAAAAACACCGTGGTTATTGTGGTAAAGGCTGAGGACTCTTTCCATGGCGGGGTTTTCCTTGTGGAGATTCCTGATCTCAAAAGACTGAATTTAAAGATAGTAAAAGTTCTTAGGTTTTGTTTTTTAGCCACCATCAACTCTTGATTTAAATTACACTAATTGGTTTATTTGTTGAGGCAGAGCCCCGAACATTAAAATTTTCAATTTTGGAGTAAATCCCAGGTTTGGTGGTGTACCACTGCAATCCCGAAACTTGAATGAGAAAGATGAGAGGACCGCAGAGTTCCAGGCTAACCTGAACTGCAGAGACCTCTCAGAATTAAAACAAAACAAAACAAACATCCCCCTCATCCCCAAACAGCACCGGAGCTAAAACCCAAAGTATTTTTTAGATATGACCACTAGAGGGCAGTAAGGAATTAATAAATAGCTCAAAACGTTTCTGGCAAAGACCCAAAAGACCAAAATTGTTACTATTTTAACTATGAAGCCAAAGGTGGATAGGTTTTACAGTTTTGCAAGTAACAGGCAAACTTTAGAAAAATAAGACGCAGTTGCTTCTCAGATTGTCAAGCAATTACTTTGGTTTTATGCACACATATACAGATTATACTGAAAAATGTCATGCTGCAAAAAAAAAAAAAAGAAAAGAAAAGAAACAAAACAAAAACAAAATACACAGGCCCTTCAGGGCTCCCAAAGTGACCCTAACACGCCTATATGGCCCATAACTTTGAACAGTATTTATTCTGCCTAGTGAGCTGCAGCAGAATGAGCGGGTGAGCAGGAACGTGTGACTTGGCCCTGGTTTCTCCTCAACCAGTCCTGAGAAGACCCCTTTCCTCCCCGAGCCTCAGCAACCATCACACAGCTCAGTTTGGATCTGAGGATATAAACCAGTTTGGATTCAGCCCCAACTGTATAAGCTCTGCTCAAGCTGTAAAGGAGACAGTTGGTTAGGGGACGTCTGCAAATTCCCTGGGATTTGTTGGTTCATCAGCTTGAGTTCTTTCTTAGGGCAATCTCCGAAAAAGAAGACAAAAGGTTCTGTACCATTTAGACTGCAGTATGATCCACGGCTGTCTGTCCCAAGCTTATGTTTGTATACGAAGCAGACGTTGTGCCGCAGTAATAATAATCACTGACTAGCGTGACACCCTCATCCTAAGTTAGGCCAAGTGACTTAATGATTTTAGAGTTAGGTGCAGAAGCATTACACACATGCACATGCACACGCAAACGAAACACCAAAATGTGCCAGGGTCTTTATTTAACTAAGCCAGGTTCAAACATCTCTGCTTGTGACAAGTCAGGATCACCCCTAAAAAGACCTGATATCCACCCTAGGAGAATCTCACTTCTCTACCCACAATCTCCAAATTATCTCAGAGTTCATTCTACTGGGCTGCAGACCCATTTAGTCACAGAAAAAGTCAAAGTGGACCCAGAAGTCCACCGCTTCCTCTTGACCCTTGCCCTCCACACACCATGGAAGAGTCCCCACAGGGATCTCTGATGGCCTATGTTGCAATGCCAGCTGGAGTTCGTCTTTATTCCAACCTAAGTTCAGTGTCCTTGAGACAAGGCAGTGACTACCTCCCTGCCTACCTCATCTAATACAGTCTGTCTCCAGATAGGGGCTCCTAAAGGAAGTGGTTGGAGACTGAGCTTTTTGCTCTTTCGAACCTTGATCTGCCTAGATAGTAGTTGTGTGAGCAGAGTGTGGAAGCACAAGCTGTCCTTGTACTTCATTAGAGAAAGGCTTTGCTCACAAGATCATCAGCCAGATCAAGGAACTGCCACATAGCTTTTGATCCAACACTGACTGCCTAGAATACAGCTCTAGAAAGTCCTGCTAGAAATGATCAAAATCATGCTACCAATAACTTTAACAAAAATTAGTGCTAAAATGAGTTCGGCAAACGAACTCAATGACTTTTCCAGCAAATTTTCTGTATAAATAGATACGTAGTATTGTAGGAACTTCCCAATGACTACAAACACTGCAAACCTTCGCAATGTGTAAATACTAGCAACTGATAAAAACTTTACTATATTGACTGATGTTGCAGTGATGATGAGCGTAAAGAAGCCGAGTGGAGGGGCTGGAAAGATGGCTCAGAGGTTAAGAGCACTGGCTGCTCTTCCAGAGGTCCTGAGTTCAATTCCAGCAACCACACAGTGGCTCACAGCCATCTGTAATGAGATAGAAGAGCTGGCCTGAGCTGGCCTTTTCCGAGTATGATCCATCTGTGACTGACTCAGTAGCAGATCCATCTGAGTGGGGATGCAATCCTCCACAGACGACAGAACACATGGTCAGGTTCCGAGGCTCTCACTCCAAAGCTGCCTTATGGGAAAGCTCTAAGAAAGCATTACCTCCCAAAACCAAAATGCTAGGAGACTGGAAAAAAAAAAATGTAAAGGAGTAACCTGAAAAGCAGGGTGGTTAAGATTAATATTAAAATGGACTGCATTAATTGTAAGATTTAGAATCCATGAATGGGGCTGAGTCTGGTCAAAGGCAAGTGGGCGTGTGCAGGGCTAGGAGAAGGATTTATGTCCATCTAGGCAGAGGTATTCAGCAATGGTATGCACTTTCTGCTGGAGCAGAAGCCAAAGGCTTGTGAGGAAGGGAGGACTCCACCTGCACAGCCTTCTGTCTGCCTCCAGCAGGCCCTCCTCCAGCCTCCAGCAGGCCCTCCTCCAGCCTCCAGCAGGCCCTCCTCCTGCCTCCAGCAGGCCCTCCTCCAGCCTCCAGCAGGCCCTCCTCCAGCCTCCAGCAGGGCCTTCCTTCTACCTCCTTTCTAATGTGGCTTCCAACTTCCGTCTCCTTCTACCCAATCCTTTGATTTTGGTGACATAATTTCTTTCCATTGTCATTTGCTTTCCCTTTTACACATTTCCACTTCTAACTCTTAATCTTCTTGGCTGTTCTGATTATTTGCAAACAATATTAGCAAGTACTCAATCATGATGAAAAGAGAAGATGCCAAAATACCTATAGTAAATTGAGAGGTTCTAGGCAAAGAAGTTTAAATTTCTGTCTGTGCTGTGGGATAACGCTCATGTATACTGTAAAGATTTGTCACTCATATTGGTTTAATAAAGTGCTTGGCCAATAGCCAGGCAGGAAGTACAGGCAGGGCAACTAGACTAGGAGAATTCTGAAAAGAAGAAGGTGGTCACAGTTGCAGCCAGAGGCAGAGAAAGCAAGATGAGAATGCTTCAATGATAAAAGGTACCAAGCCACGTAGCTAAACATAAGAAATATGGGTTAAGTTGTAAGAACTAATTAATAATAAGCCTGAGCTAATAGGTACACAATGTTACAATTAATATAGATTAATATAGTTTTTGTGAGTTTCTTTGGGCCTGAACAGCTGTGGGACCAGGCGGGACAGAAACTTCAGTCTACATGTCTGAATTTAAAGGAGAAAAAAAACACCCCATCTTACACATAAGTTTAATGTACAACATAAAATCTAAGTAGTTTTAAATTTGCCACATGCTTAAACAAGAGATTATCTCTGGCTTAATTATGTTGAAATCTGAAATTATTAATTGAAAACTAATGTTTTGTTTAGGCTGAGAAAAAACTTAAATGTGTAAAAAACTAGAGAATCAAGAAATTTTTAAAAAACAATTTTCCAAACTAATATATACATAAAAAATAAAAAGCCTAGCAAAAAAGTTTTGGTAGGTCTTCATCTGAAGAAAAACGCTAGCTGAGCTATATGTAAATATGTAAATGGAAACTAAATTTGTATCTTACTTTATAGCTCTCTTTACATATTTTGGTATTTTAAGCACAGTAAAAATTCAGAATGAGGTCCTAAGTAATTTATAGGAATGTAAACAGAAGCCCAACTTAAAAGAGGAATCCAATATAGAAAACACGGTTCTTTTCCTTTTAAAAATGAAAATCCCTTTATACATATGCAAATATTTATTGAGTTAGATAAATAAAACTGTGTAATAAAGAATCTTCATAATATTTTGACATGTATTTTCATAAAGCAAAAAATGCAATTAGCTTTGGGGGCCTGTGTGTATCGGTGAAGAACATTGGCTGCTCTTCTAGAGGACCCATTTTAAGATCCCAGCACCCACCACATAAAGGCTCACGACCATGTATAACTCCAGTCCCAAGGGATCTAATGCCTTCTTCTGGTCTTTGTGAGTACTGGCCATGAACCACACGTGATACACAGACAGGCTTGCAGACACAACACTCATATATGCCAGGTAAGTTTCTTAAGAAGTGATTTGCTTGCTCAGTAGGGAATCACAGGAGAAGCAGTGTGCTCAAATGGCACTTCCTGGTCTGAGTCTGGCCGTTAATGCCTAGGGTATAGATGAAAAACATGCTGGCCAAGTCCGTGGGTGAAGGAAGCGTGTGTGTTGCTAGCTTCTAGGAAACACTAGTGAAGCCCTGTTGAGTCCGAGAGGTCTGGAGGCTGTAATTACATTCTTTGATAACTAGCTAGCCCCTATGCTGCTGGGCCTACCCACCTTGAGAAGGCTTTAAAGGGAAGTAGGGAAAAACAGACACATCAGGAATTACACAAGAAAGAACAGGGGCTGGAGAGATGGCTCGGTGGTTAAGAGCATTGCCTGCTCTTCCAAAGGTCCTGAGTTCAATTCCCAGCAACCACATGGTGGCTCACAACCATCTGCAAAGAGGTCTGGCACCCTCTTCTGGCCTTCAGGCATACAGACAGAATATTGTATACATAATAAATAAATAAATTTTTTTAAAAAAGAAAGAACAGATTTGAGTTATACATGAGAGGCTCAGGCAGACAGACAGCGCAAAAAAATTCGGAGATGGGCTGGAGAGATGGCTCAGAGGTTAAAAGCATTGACTGCTCTTCCAAAGGTCCTGAGTTCAATTCCCAGCAACCACATGGTGGCTCACAACCATCTGCAATGAGGTCTGGTGCCCTCTTCTGGCCTGCAGGCATACACACAGACAGAATATTGTATACATAATAAATAAATATTAAAAAAAAAAGTCGGAGATAAAAAGAGATGTGTTCACTTAGTGTACGAGCAAGAAGGTCAGCAGTCCTCTGGGTAGCTGACAGTGCAGGAGGCTAACAGCACACATTTAAGTCCTGTTTATGCAGATATTAATATACGGTCAATGTGAAGTCCTGTCTTTAATTCCATGGTCACTCCTCTGGGGTAAGAAATAATGAACTGGCTTCTTGTTGGTGATGATCCTTTGTTGTTCATGTTTAAACTAATTCAGAGGTGACACCCAGCCTGGGATAGAACCTCAGGAGCCAAACAGCTGAACTACAGCTCCTTCCACAGTTCCTGCCCAGCAACCTTCCGTTTCTTTTCCAGGGCAGCCATTGGTTTTCTTTCAATCATTTCACATATTTTATGTTTTTTCCAAATATAAAAAGGTGTTTTGCAGGGTGTGGCGGCACTTGCCTTTGATCCCAGCACTCAGGAGCCAGGGGCAGGTGGATCTCCGTGAGTTCAAGGCCAGCCTGGCCTATATAGTGAGTCCTGGGATAGCCAGGGCTGTGTAGAGAAACCCTGTCTCAAAAACAAACAAAGTGATGGTACTCCCCTCTTTCTGTTTTTATCACAGTTACCAGCTCTGCAAATTGCTTTTCCTTGTCATCTCTCGGCGACAAATGTCTATCTGTGAATCTTTGGTGGGTATATTTGAAAGTCATGCATCTTGGCCAGGCCTTTATCAATGATCACACTGAAGTACTTCTCTCTGGCTTTGGACCCAGAACTTTAAGTATAGGACTTACTGCTTTGTGCTTAAGTCCCAATTAAACACAAACATTGTTAGACTTAAAACCTCTTCTAGCTGCTGAGCAAATGTGATGTTTTGGGAAAGTCAAGTAGTTTAGCATTGTGCACGTGGGACTTCATTTCCCATGAAATACTCACTGAGGTCAGGCAAGATAGCTCAGTGGGTAGAGGCACTTACTGCCAAGCCTGATGATTGAGTTTGATCCTGTTAGAACCAGAGCAGAGTCTCAGGAGTTGACCTCTGACCTCTGTATGTATGCACACTGTCTGTCTCTGCCCTCCCCCTACCCATCTGTAGGTGCATATGTGCGTGTGCATCTCACACACAGACACGCACATGAATATAAATTAAAATGTATTTTTAAAAAAATGTAAAAAAAAAAAACATGCATTGAAGAACCGTGGAGCAATACAGCAAAAAGATCATAAGAAGGGGCCCATAGCACGATTGGGCATTCTTCAGCTGGGGAATACACATGGGTCCAATAGTATGGGTCCAACATCTTAAAGGCATGTAAGTTTCTGGTCTGTTCCCTTAGCTGGAAACTTCTACCAATAGCAATAACTCTATGGAGCATCCTAGATCACAAAGGAGAGTGGATATAAACTTCACCAGCAGGAGCAAACAGACAGCAAACTCAAGCAAAGCAGGTTTTGAAATAGCTAGGAAGCTTTCCGTATTTCACCATCCTCACAAATCTACAGCGTACTGGGGTGTGCCAACATTCCTTTGGCATCACCTAGTGCACGGAGGCTCTGCTTCCTGCCGGCATGCTGTCAGCCTCCACAGAGGTAGCAGAGGAGGAAAGTAAAGGCTTTCAGCCACCAAGTTCACCAGGGGATGGGGAGGCGGCTCAGTGGGTAAAAGTGCTTGCCACACAAGCATGAGGACTCGAGTTCAAATCCTAGGACACCATGTAAAAACTAAACATGCATCGCAAACATCTGTAACCCCAGTACTCCCGCTAGGAGGGGGGAGGTGGAGACGGTAGAATCCCTAGAAGCTTGTCAGCCAGCTCACCTAGAGTTCTCAGTGGGAAAATAACGAAGAGGCCCTGTCTCAAATAAAATGGAAGGAGAAGGCCTACATCCAGGGTTGTCCTGTGACCTCATACAGGCCATGGCACATGTGTGCCTGAATCCTCACATTCCAATGTGCCCCCACACACACCCAGTTTATCAGGATATCAATGAGAGGGAAAAATACTAAAAGGAGAGCACGTGGAGTAAGGTGGGGCCACTTCCAGACGATGGCACCTTCTAGGCACAGTGGCAGCTTTGTGAGATAGATGCTTCTGATGCTTCTGCTTTGTTTCACTTTAAATGCATGGATTCAGCGAGGTGTGGTAAAGGCATGCCTGTAGTCCCAGGACTCGGAAGCTGGAGTAAGCATTATTAGAGGTTCAAAGCCAGCCAGGACTTCTGCAGTCCTTACTATGTGTACGATCGATGTTAACCGTAACTATGTATTGGTATCCTGTCTTGGGGGGAAAAAGACTGCGGACATTGGTGCATACCTTTATTAATATTAATTCTAGCATATTGGGAGGCAGAAGCAGCCGGATCTCTGTGAGTTCAAGGCCAGTCTGGTCTACATAGTGAGTTTCAGGGCAGCCCTATCTATACAAAAAAAAAGAGAGGAGGGGAGGAGGAAGAAGAGGAAGGTGAAGAAGAGGAGGAAGAGGGAGATGAGGAGGAGGGAGATGAGGAAGAGGAGGAAGAAGAAGAAATAAAGAGAAAAGTAAAATAAATTCATGGACGGAAAGGTAGAAAGAGGTCTTCCCCATCACCTTGCAACACCCTAATGACTACGGTCTAAGACTAGACTTGCCTCATGAGCAGACAAATGACCAAGAGTGAAAGAGCAAAGCTTTTCCTCCGGCACGACTCGTTCTCCTTCTGCCGCTGGTGCATCTCTCCGCCACATTTGTTACAACAGCGGCACACACAGAAGAAGTAGCCCACCAGAGGCATGAGGATAATAAAGAGCAGTCCCAGGATGGTGCAGACAAGGATTCCAATTTCATAGTAGGCAATCTGCAACGTGAAGGAAAGACACAGTACATGTCACACGAAACAGAAAGAACATTCCACAGTCGTGAGTAGCTCGGTATGCACGCATTGGTGTGTTTTTCCATTTAGAAGCTCGCTGAGCTTTTGAAGGAAGTGGAGTCCTGAGTTACTAGAATTCTGGCCAAGAGTTTAATATTTCTTTCATTTTCCTGGAAGTTACCTAAGAGCAAGGTCAAGTGGGAAAATGGTTTACTTTCAATTTCAAAGGCATTTTCCTTTCCAGATGGCTTTAAAAATAGCTCTGTCTAGCGAGTCATACACAAACAGGGTACTCTACATCAGAAAAACAGAATTAGTAGTAGACTGGGATTTGAACCATGTTAGATGGGATTGAATAGTGACAAACTCAATGTTTATAAAAAGAATTAAAGATATGCTGGGACAAAGGTGGCACAGAAATTATGGGAGTGGCCACCCAATGACTGGTTCATCTTGAGGCCCGTGCTATGAGAGGGAGCCCACCCCTGACACTGCCTGTAGGGCCAGGACCAGAGAGGCTGGACAGCCCAGAGACCGAGGATAGAACCAAACAGGACTGGCAAACAAGCAAGCAAACAAACAAACAAAAAAACTAGTCAATGAAGTGATTCCTAATGATATTCTGCTATACTTCTAATCATTGCCTAGCCCAGTTGTCACTAGAGAGGCTTCACCCAGCAACTGATAGAAACATGCAAATACCCACAGCTAAACATTAGGTAGAACTTGGGGAATCTTGTCGAAAAGGGGGAGGAAGGGTTATAGGAGCCAGAGGGGCCAAGGACACCACAAGAAAACCCATAGAATCAGCTTATCTGTGAGCTCACAGGGGCTCACAGAGACTGGAACTGCCAAGCAGAGAACTCGCATGGGACTGGCCTAGGCCCCTGAACATATGCTACAGTTGTGTAGCTTGGTCCTTTTGTAGGACTCCTAACAGTGAGAGCAGGGGCTGTCTCTGACTCTGTTACCTGCTTTTGGGACCCTTTCCTCCTACTGGGTTGCTTAAGACCCAGCAAACTTCCACATGGAATCTTTAGACCTTAATATGTTTTCATGGCCCTTGCTAGCTTGTTCTTGGGGCACATGGAACAATGACCTGGAGGATGGAATAATCTCTCACTCCAGTCCGCACACAAAGTCACCCACATTTCTCTTGGTTTTCTCACTCCCCTGTTGTTTGTGAGACGAAGCTCCCTGTATCCCAGGCTGATCTCAGTGGTAATGAATGACCCTCCTGGATACTTCAATTACAGATATGTGCCCCCATGCCTAGCTTCTGCAGATATAATTGAGGCTGGAACCCGTAGATTCATGAATGCCAGGCAAGAACTCTTGTCAACTGAGCTACACCCTCGGCACCCAAGTCCCTCCTCATGTTTGTAAAGAATGGTGGAATCACAGGTTGAGGCTTGGTGAACAAACAAGATAGCAATGGCTGATGTAGCAGCTAAGATGATGGGAGTAAATCAAGACACGGGCCTTGCTCCTGCAGGCGCGCTCTGAGACCAGATCTCACCTCCAACTTCCTGTTCAACCACCTCATTTTGTCTTTCCCCAATCAGACAATGTGTGTTTCCTTGCATTACTGTGAGTGTGGCATTCATAAAGAGAGCTCAGGGCCGCCACTCCCTCTAGCTTGTCCACCGTGTAATATAGTAATGACAAAAAACAGCTGAAGAAAACAAAGACCTTTGTTCTTGAAATCTGCAGAAGCAAAAAGCATTTCCTTATGGAAAATTGTGATCGTGTGCACCTCTGGCCACCTGTTGTGGGGAGTCACCCATCGGTCGGTGAACCCCTATCGACTGCCCCTGTGATCACTCCTGAATTTCCAGCAAAATGAACTTGGTGACAAACCTGCCATCCTCCCATCTACCTGGCTCTCAACAGTTGCCTTCCTTGTCTCAATGCCAGTCTCTTCTCTTAAATGGCCGTCTGTACAAGACAGACGCATTATTGGGCTCTGGCGACAGTGCCAGAAGCAAATGCGATGTCTTGGTAGAGAGCACTAAAACTGAAGTCAGTTGCGTCCTTCTGGGAGCTCCTGGTCCCCTTACACTAGGAAAGGGCCCATCCACGTGATGAGCCTCACGGGCATGACGGATGAACAAAGTGAAGACAACAGCTTATAGTCAATAGACAGCAATTAACTACAGATGAGCACTCGGGTATGAACTGGGGTACAGCTGACGCTAAAAAAATTAGGAAATAAAGGCAAGAGAAGTTGCCGAGGGTGTGTGTGTCCTTTCGCCTGTCTACAAACACCCATTATTTACTGACTAGCATTTCCTTGAGGACTAATATCTCCTGTCAATTAAGAAACCAGCCCAGACACTACAAATTCTCACATACTTACACATTTTTTCTACCATTTCTCAGCAAACAAAATTATTTAGTATTTGAAAGGAATTTTGAATATTTTCTGAACCCCAGCAGATGATAAACTCAAACCCAGGAGAGAAAATATGTTGAAATATTTACAGTGCATTAGTTTTAGCATCAAGCAAAAAGTTTATACGTAATATACAACCTTCCCAATGTTCCTTCCCAACTAAGTATCAGACAGTGTTGGGAATGAAAACACATTGTTTCCTTCCTTCCTTTTCCTCCCACCTGCCACAGTGCTGAGAACCGAACTTAGAGCCTCACACATCAGAGAGGCGGGTGCTCTACCCCTGAACTATATTCCCGGTCCTAGGGTGTTCTCAGAGCTGATTTCTAGACCACAGGTTCTGGCCATTTGTTGATTAATTTTCAGGTGTCATGATCTTTGAGCACATTGTAGATTATCTTGACATCAGACAAATGGAAAATTAAATATGACAGCTGAGACACAGACAAAACAATCAATCTAAACACTACCACGGGGCAACACCAGGGATGGGCGGGAAGTGCCGACTTCAGACAAACAGTAGGCATGCAGTTTACCTTCAAAGCCAAGACTATGTTTTCTGGCTGTGGAAATCAAAGCAGTTGAGGAGTTTGTGTGTAGCAGAGGCAGCATGCATCAAAATAAAACAGAAAAGTCACATGAGTCATTAACCATAACCATATTCCACACTGGAAAAAAAATCAAGGCAGAAGGATCAACATGAGAAAGGAATACAGATTCTTGGGTGTATATTTGAGAATTTGTGTTTGGATTAGAGTCAAGTTCTGGATTTCACATTTGGGTTTTTGGAAGGTTTGAAGTCAATATGATCATCAGTTAGGAAAAAGAGAATTGCAGGGCAGTTACAGATATTAATACGCTTGCTACATGATCTTCATGAAGCAGGTCAGGAGGGTAGCCTAGAGTCCAAGAGCCAAAGACAACTCTTCCAAAGGGTCTTCTCTGAAAGCGTCATTCCCTTGTTTAACAGAATTCAGTGAAGTTCCCTCATTTCTTTCTTTATTTCATTTTTATTTTGGTTATTTTTATTTATTTAATTGTTTGTTTGTTTGTTGAGACAGGGTTTCTCTGTATAGCCCTGACTGTCCTGGGACTTGCTTTGTAAACCAGGCTGGCCTCGAACTCAGAGAGATTTGCCTGCTTCTGCCTCCCAAGTGCTGGGATTAAAGGTGTGCCATTTCTAACACACACTTGCCAGCGTGTCCTTTATTACCCATCTTGGCTTCACATCCTCACTCCTCCTGGCCATTCTGTCTGGTGTCACTCTGTCAGGACATTTCCTCTCTTCTCTCCTCACTCTGACTGCTCAGGTTATCCCTCCTTCCCTGAATGAAACTCAAGTTTCAGAATAGATGCTACCTCCTCCAGGAAGTCTGGGCATTGTACATCTTATTTCACACTGCTCTGTAGCCCTGAACTTGCCATTTGAGATACGGTGCTTCACTTAGAAGAAATGGCTGCCGTAGAGCCATCTCCTGTAATCACCTCCTAGACAGCAAGCCCCACCTGCAACCAAAACTTAACCAGCTGATGAGCTAATGAAAGAAAAGCCACAGGCCAAAACCAGAGATTCTTCAGCGTCATCCAGAGATGGGGACCAGTCAGTGATGAAGATGAACTAACCCACAATGATGAGGGGAAAATAAAGCACATCTCAGTGGATTTTTCCTTAAGCTACATTTGCTCAGTTTATAAACCTATCCCTCTTGGTGGCCCGTGTAGTGGGGAGGAAAGTTGCTGCTGTTTCTAGATGCCATCTGTGGCAAGAATAAAATGAGGTGGTTCCGTTTCACTGCTTTGAAGTTTTCTGGCTTGGAAACTTGAATGGATGCAAACTGTTCCTCACCTGGGGCAGATCTTCACAACTCTGAAACAACAATGCTCATGTTTCTATTAATTTTTAAATGAAGCACGGAAAATGCTGGGGGTTGGGGACATTTCAGAGAGACATATCCCCAAGGGTTAGCTTAGCGTCCTGACAAGTTCTGTTCTATCTTCCCAGGTGAGCCTACAAGCTTGATACCACTGACATATCCACCAACCATAAGGACCTCCCCATGTAATTAATTTCCAGTCTCCTCCTCCTCCCTTATGGTACTTGAGCCCAGGTCTGGGTAAGGCCAGGTATCTTTACATATTTACATACAATAATTACACATGAGTAATCTGGGAAAATCTGTCCTCACTTGGTTATTATTGTGGCTGGTCATGCTGGATGCACGAAGGTCACTCTAATTATAAACTATAACAAATGGCTCATTCTTTTGTAATTTCTCTAACCTAAGGGTCAACCTGTCTGATCTATTTTACAGGATAACAGCAAAAACCTCCACGGACGTGGGTGGGTGAATTTTCACTCGTCTCTTTCTAAATGAGCGGCAATACAGGATAAATTTATTTCTGTGGTGTACAGCAGTGAAAATCTTGTTTCCACACCTTGGTTTCCCATTGTTCTCTACTCAGTTGCCCATTATAATCATCAAGGGAGCTTTTAAAAATACCAGGAACTAGCCCACCCTGAAGAACAATATCAAAATCTTTAGGGAACATCCACGGTGTTGCTACTAACGGGTAGGATAAGCAGAGAGCAGTACCTGGGGAAGCATTTGCAAAAACTATAAGGGAAATGACAGCATGTGACAGGATGGGTAGGTACTCTGCCACCAGTGCTTTTTTGTGTTCTAGATGAGCAGATACTCAAGACGGATGCTGGCCAGAGCCTCTTACAGAGAGTAAAACCCAATGACTCCTGCAGGACGCTCTTTTCTAAATGTCCTCCAAGATCCCTGGAGTGCGCTTTCCTTGTGCAAACAAATGGGATGTGAGTTCTAATGGGCAGTGTGTCTTCTCCCACTGGAGAGAAGGCAAAGAGGTAGCTAGACCACTCCCAGGAGTCTCCGGACCTGAACCCAAGTGAGCTCACGTCCCCATTCCTACCTGTTCCTAGAAGAGGAACCCTTGCTGTTGGGGCTATCAGATTCATCAGGCATGCTAAAGTTCAAGACACACGGAAAGCAGCAGCCGTGGCATTTGTCCAGAGATATGAGCCAATCTGGACAAGAGTTTGGTGATACAGTGATGTGAGAGCATTGAAGGAAAATGCTCTGCAGAGTCCTAGCAGGGCAGTGAGCAGAAGGCAAGGTGGTTTCCTCCTGAACTGTCCCATGGTCGGACAGATGAAAATGGCTTTTGAAGCAGCTTCCCTCTTCGGCATCTCCACTCAGCCTTTTCCGGTGTCGCTCACCACAAATAGAGGCTGTGAAGTGGATGTTTCTAACTTGAGGGTCTGAACTCATTCGCCAACTGGGGCAGTGGGCTTTCACGTTCAGCCCTGTCCTGGCTATCTCGTTGTTCCCCTGGCTCCTCAGAGCAGAGCAAGAGCAAATAACACACCCTACTTACCTTGTGGAGGGCTAAGAACACCACAAACACATTTCCCTGGTTTTTAATCACCCTTCACCCACTACCCTGCATACACCTTGTCTGTGTGTTTCCCAGGCCTTACACTTACAACTATCCAAACTCGAAATCTATTCTTCTGTTTAGGTCACAGAAGGAAAGGGAAGGAGCAGCCGTGAGGGCAGTGAGATCCCTTGATGCTCTCTGTAAACCCTGACCTCTCACCTCCTGACCTGACCAGGGTCACTTTTCTCTCTCTGGACCAACTGCTCTTCTCTCTCTTCCACGCGCGGCTTCAGAGCTCACTCAATCCCCCAGCACTCCCAAACGTGCCTCCTACCTGGCCCATCCCCTTGTCCTCTCCTCCTACCTGGCCTGTCCCCTTGTCCTTCAGTGAGAGTCACTATGTGTAGTCGGGGTTTCTGCTCAGAATTACTTGATTTTCTCTGTTTCTTTGCATGTTTCTTCAGACCTACTTATTTTCTCGTTGCCCTTTGCCCTGAAACCATAAGGTCCTGGCGGGGCTTGTCCAAGAGCAGCCTTCCTTGTCTCCACCATCCCTCTAATTCCAGCCGTGTGCACACTGAGCAGCTGCTCAGCCAATGCAACAAGGAGCCAGGAGGGAAGCGGCCATGGAGAGAGCTGCTCTGGAAAACAAGCTCCCCTGTCCCGGCGTCTAGCTTCTAAGAGTTCTCGAGCCTTTCTGCTTAAGGAACTTCTCTCCCTTAGCTGAAAATGAAAACCAAACAAACAAACAAAAATCTTAGTATTTTTTTTTTCAGGAAAATTTCAAATGACGCATAACTTGGTTTTCCTCAGTCACCAATTGTGAAGCTTCTGCTGCCACTCAAATGGGATCCATTAAGTAAGACAATTTCCCATAAAAATTCCTTAGTCAAAAAAAGTTTCCAAATTACAGATAAAACAATGATTGTTTTAAAGACTTGTGTTCAAGCCAGACATGATTTTTCTCGTATTTGCTATTTTTAATAACAAATAACAACAAAAACGTTACCTCCTTTGAGTCAACTGAGAAGTCAAAATTCCTCTGTATGATTTTTCTGATCATATCTATAAAGAAAAAAAAACAAAATACTAAAATTATTTCTTCAGTAAAAGAATACAATGCATACATATAGGTTTACTAATTATTTTAAAATTATTTTAGGTGGACATAGCATCCTTATAATGATAGTCCTATTTCTAAGGTAGGTAAAGGACTAAGCTAATGAGCCTAACATTACACTGAAGTTGCTGAAGTGTCTTAGCATTTGTTTATTGGAGAGGTAGGACAGGTACACAGTATGAACAAGACTAGGGGCTCTACCCTTCAACAGCACATTCTGGAGGTCAGAGGACAGCTTGCTAGAGTCAATTCCCTCTTTCCACCAGCATAAGTTCTAGGAATCACACTTGGTGTCAAGTCGGACTTGGTGGCAAGTGCCCTTACCCACAGAGCCATTCCACTGGGCCTGAAGTTGCTAATTTATAGACAACGTATTTCCAACATTTGCAATATTTACAAATGATTCCTAAAAGCCAGCCTGACCTAAGGGTTGTTAACATGAGAACTCCCTCCTCCTAAGCAGTGTGTGAAAACCCAGAAATACTGTGGAAAATTTTCACTTTTCCATCCATGCTTGTTTGGGGACATTTTCAAATAACAAGCTCTGGACCAAAGCTGGACAAGAGCCATGGCTCTCTCTGAAGCTCCACCAAGGCAGGATTTGAGACAATGGAGGTCCAGACAGTGAGGGACTTGCCTAAGAATCTCAAAGTGATTGATGGTTAAGTCAGGCCAAGGCCAGGTCTCCCTTCTGGACAGGCTCTTTCGCATCACATCAATACCCACTGTCCCTCATGCCCAGATGAGCTTCAGGGCTCTCTCTGTGTGGCCTCACGCTGACCTGAATCAACCACTAAAAGACTCCCATGGAAACAAAGATGTTCATACACTTGCTGCAAAATTCCATGAGCCTGACAGTTCTTTCTGGAAAACAGTTTTGTTCTGTGCACAGCTGAGACCCGAACCAAGGTATGAAGTCCATGCTGTGGGAATAGAACTAGAATTCTGGCAAGCTGTGTCCGTTCCTTCCCACTCCCTGTGGGCAGCTCCACCCCAGTCTCTCTCCTCTGCTGCCAGGCAACATTACTCGAGTTTCTGGTAGAATTTCACTGAAGAGTTTCTGTTATTGACTAAAAATTTTAAATTAATGGTCATCTAGGTAGTCAAATATGTTTCCGAAGTTATGTGCATTGAGCTCTTGAAATAGTTCAGAAGGGAACATAGCACACTAGCAGAATGGATCAGGTTCAAAGACCCAAGTTCTATCCGCAACACCTGAAGAATTAGTCCAGTGGCTGGGAAGACGGATCCAACTGGTAAAGTGCTTACCATGAAAGCATGAGAACCCGGATGCGAGCCCTAGCACCCATGTGGAAAGCTTGGCAGACACTCATGCATTTGCAATCCCAGTCCTGGGGAAACACAGACAGGAAGATTCCCGGGACTCACTGTTCTGACAGTCTTAGCAGAACTGGTGAGTCCTTGGCCCCACTGAGAGACCTGGTCTCAAAAGAAGTGGATGGTGTTCCTGAGAATGATAACCAAGATTATTCCCTTGGCCCTATGAGTACATGTATGTGCATGCGCAGTCACGGCATACATGCCCGTGAACACACACACAGCCTCACTCACCGCCCCCAGTCTCGCCACATATATACACATACAAAGGTGTGGGGGCACATGGTTAGTGTCTAATATCAGGTACAAAACTAATTGCCGCAAGCAACCTCACTGGGAAAGGGGGACAGATAAGTCTCAGTTCTCAGAGCGTAGGGTTAGGATGCACGGGCTGGAGCCCCTTTTGCCTTCAGTGCCACGGTCTTATACATGCTTGTGTTAATTTATGTGCTAAATCATCGCTGGTCAAAGGGAAAGCCTCATTCGTACCCATTCGAATACAGTGAGTCTCAAGTACATTGTAAGGAAAGTCTTTCCACAGGCCCTTAATTGCAGAGGGACAAGAGGCAGACAGGTAAGTCAAGTGCTTGAGTCCAGACACAGATCTAGGCCGTTCAAAAATTAATGTAGTCACGCTTCACGGCACAAACCTATAATTCCAGCTGTTCAAGATGACGAGGCAGTAGGACCGCAAGTTCAAAACCTATGTAGGCAATGAGAAAATTTAAAGCTAGCCACTAGTCTTAGGAATGTCTCAAAGTAAAAACTACAATGGGAGGGGTGGGGCTGGGGCCTGGGGCTATAGCTCAGTGGTAGATCACCTGCCTAGCATAACAAGGCTGTTTAACGCCCAGTAGTGAGCCCAGGTGGTGGTTTGAAAGAAAATGGCCCCCAAAGGAAGTGGCACTATTAGAAGGTGTGATCTTGTTGGAGGAAGTGTGTCACTGTAGAGTGGGTTTTGAGGTCTCAAATTCAAGCCACGCCCAGTATCTCAGTCCACTTCCTGTTGCCTGCAAGATGTAGAACTCTCAGCTTCCTCTCCAGTTCCACATCTACCTGTAAGCCACCATATCTCACCATGCTGATAATGAACTGAACCTCTGAAACTGTATGCCAGCACCTCAGTTAAATGTTTTCCTTTATAAGAATTACCATGGTCATGGTGTTTCTTCACAGCAATAGAAACACTAACTAAGACACCTCAGCTCCCAAAAATTAACTCCCTAAAAGCGCTGCTATTGTGTATAAGGGGGAGACTAAGGGTATTTGACCCCAGAGGCAGATTCAGCACAGCCTGGTGCTGAACCTACTACATCAGCCTGTCAGCATCTTTCGCCACGGCTCTGGTACCTTCACTTTCTGCTCTTCCTTCTCTGGCTCTTCAAGGAGAGACACAGAACATGGGTGCCCAGGAGCATGGCAGCATTGCTGTGTGGCCTCTTCTCCCTAGGCCCACATCCCAGATCTGTGCCCTAGGTCCTCTGTCATCAGATAGCAGCTAATGATATGAACTGTGACTGCAGAATGTGAAAGATGTATGTCTCTGCATGGCTTCTATAGCTTTCCACAGCCTTCATCATCGGTGGCCACATTTCTCACCTCTATGCTGAGTATAAGGGATCCCACAGAAACTTCTGAATCCAGAAGCATAACAGAACCACAGGGAGACAAACGAGCAACCCCAGGCGACTCTCCCTCCACACTGGGCCTGGGCCTATAGAAGCAAATGATTTCTGCTCATACCTATAATCACAGCACATGGGAGACAGAGGCAAGATGACTGAAGCTATCCTGAGCTAAGCAATGAGATGCATGCCAGCCTGGGCTAAAGAGTGAGACCATGTCTTTAAAGAGAAAAGAGAGGACGGTGACAAGAGACGATGGTGCCGACCACCAATTCTGAAGACCTGAGTTTGATCTCTGGGACCCACACGATAGACGGATAAAACCAACTCCCGCCAGGTGCTCTCTGACCTCCACACCCATGTTATGGTGCACAAACACACACACACACACACACACACACACACACAGAGAGAGAGAGAGAGAGAGAGAGAGAGAGAGAGAGAGAGAGAGAGAGAGAAATGATTTAAAAAAAAAATTCTCCCCCAGAAAAGAAAAATCACTAAAATTGAGGCTTTTGGTATGGTATCACTGTGTCTAACTAAATAAGCTATATCCCTTCAAGCCTTTCCTCTAGGGTGCTTCTTGCCACAGTTTGAATATGACTTGTCTCCTTCTAAATCTGACTCCATTATAGGATGTTGAAGGACTCCATTATATGATGCTAGGGTAAAGAAACTCTCAAAGTGACTGGGGCTCTGCTCTTAGGCACACTGCCTGTGGTCTTGCCATGGAAATCTTGCCTCAGCTCCATACTCTGCCAGCATGAAGGCCAGCTCCATCCGAGGTCACTCAACCTTGGATCAGAATCAGGAATCAAAATAACTTTTTCTAAATAAGTTATCCAGACTGTGATGCAGTGTCAGTAGCCCTTAAGATTCCTTCTCTAGCTGTAATTTTTCTGCCAGTCCTGACTGAGCAAGGCTGAGAAAATGCTCGTTTCTCTCAGCAGAGAGCATACGCACACGTGCTGCAGGCAGACTTGGGAGACACCAACAGATCAGCACAAACATAAACTAAGACTTCAAAAGTCATCCTCACGTGGATTCTGAACTCGTGGAATCATAAAAAAAAGGATACATTAAAAAAAGGTCCATTGAAAACCATAAAAAATCACTTTAAAGATTAGTTATAAAATATTTCTCCCATCTGCTTCTCATCCCTGTGTCTTCAAAGCCCCAAGATGCCTTACCCCACCCCGGCAGCCTCATACATATGAACACCTTCTAAAGCTTTTCTCCCACCCGCCAGATTTTTCTACTCTACAAAATGCACACTCATAACCAGAGTAAACCACTGCTTCTACGTGTGTACTGCTAAATACTGAACAGCGTTACTCTGGGCAGACGGAGATCGAGGCTAACCTGATTCTGATTACACTCCCAAGAGTTACATGCACAAAATGGTCCACAAGATGAGTCATGAGCACCAGCTTGCAGACCCTCATGGCTCTTTCTGAAGGAGAAGGCAGGTTGAAATCAAGACGGGGCCAACTGGTGCAAACATAAATCCCTGTGTGCTTATGCATGGTCCCTAGAACTTCCCTCCCCAGGGGGAAAGATCTTGGAGTACTGCAGAAGAAATTCAATGCAATTCTCTTCTTCTGTCTTCTCACTATAGGTCACAGCGTGCTAGGTTCTGTGTTTGTGTTTGTTGATGCTCTTCCTGAGGCAGAATTCAAAAATGAAAACTGCCAACAGGAAAATATCTCATTACTCCAAACAAATACAGAAGTTTCTGATTAGTTGAGTAGGTTGCTTCAGTTTACTATTTTTTTAAGTTTAAAAAGGCAATTGCTTTCTCAAATCTTTAAATTTTGATTCAGTCAGTATAAGTATGACTGGTTCTGGTAACCTGACAAGTTCATTACAAAAGAAGTGAACTACATCCTCGATGTTTTTTTTGCTCCAAGACAGGTCTTCTCTGTTAACAATCCTGGCTGTCCTGGAACTCTCTTTGTAGACCAGGTTGGCCTCAAACTTAT